TACTTAATTTGTAAGATTGCAAATGCACAGAGCCCCTGTTTATTAGCTTTCAGTTGCTGCTATAACAAATTACCGTAAACTTAGTGGCTTAAAATGACACAGATGTATTATCTTCTAGTTCTATAGGTCAAAAGTCCGACACAGTCTCACAGGGCTAAGCCTAAGGTGCCAGCAGTGCTGTGTTCCCCTCTGGAGGTCTAAGAGAGAACCCATTTCCTTGCCTTTCCCAGCTTCTAGTGACTGCCCTCATTCCTTAGCTCAGGCCGCCTTCTTCCATCTTCAAACCCAGCAACTTTGCATCTCTCTGACTCTTCTTCTGTGGCCACATCTCCCTCTGGCCACAGTCACGTAATAGTCTGTGCTTTTATGGACTCATGTGATTAGATTGGGCCCACCCAGATAATGTGGGGTAATCTCCACATCTCAACGTCCTTACCCCAATCGTATCTGCAGAGTCTGTTTTGCCACGTATGGTAACGTAGTCCTAGGTTCCAGGGTGATTAGGCATGGCCATCTTTAGGGAGTGTTACCGTGCCCACCACACCCTGTTTTATATACTTCTTCGTATTACAGCATATGAGCCTCATACTGTGTTGACGATAGATGGAAAAAGATGTACTGTGCAAACACTAGCAACAACGATGACAGCTACTACTGAGGGGCTTGCACATCAGACAAAGTACACTTAACGGGGAAAAACATTATCAGAGATGAAGAGGGGGTTTTCACTGTGAGCACACTGTGACATACATGATACAGAGGTCACTGCACCCAACAACTTAAGAATATGTGCTCTTTTCAGGTGAGAATGGAACATTTAGCAATTTAGCAAAGTTACAGGATGAAAGGTCAATATGTCAAAAAGTCAATTACATTTTTCTATACTAGCAACAAACATTCAGAATATGAAATAGATTTTAAAATCTCATTTATAATAGCTTCAAAAAAGATCAACCAACTAAGAATAAACCTAAGAAAAGGTGTAAGACCTCTACACAGAAAATCATAAAACGTTGTTAAGAAAAAAATTTTAAAAACCTGAATAAATGTTGGGATCCACCATACTCATGACTGGTGGGCCTCAATATTTTAAGGCACCAGTACTCCCAAATTGATCCCAGGAGTCACTACTATCCTAATCAGTATCCCAGCAGCTATTTTTTGAACCTTGACAAGCTGATCTGAAAATGTGTATTGAAAGTGCAAAAGGCCAATAATGATTAAATAAATCCTGAAGAACAACAAAATTGAGGACTTACACAATTAGATAGAAAAAGTTACTATAAATCTACAGTAATTAAGACAGTGTGGTATTAGTACAAGGATAGACAAGTAGACCAGTGAACAGAATAGAAACTCTAGAGCCAGGCTGGCCAGTGTAGTAGCCATTAGCCGCGTGTGGCAATTTAAGTTTAAAATTAATTAAAATTAAATTAAATTAAAAACTCAGTTCTGCAGTTGCACTAGCCACATTTCACGTGTTCAGTAGCCACATGTGGCTGGTGGCTGCTGCATTGGACAGCGCAGATTACAACATTTTCATCACTGCGGAAAGTTCTGTTGGAACGTGCTGCTCTAGAGACAGACTCACCACATACGGAAATAGGATTTTTGACAAAGGTGTCACTGCAGATGAGTGGAAAAGAACAGTCTTGTCAATAAATGGTGCCTGGTCAGTTAATAGACATATTTTAAAAATGAATCTTGATTTCTACCTCACTTCATACACAGAAATCAATTGCTGGTAGGTTCTAAATCTAAATGTGAGAATTTTCATACAATGGAATACTATTTAGCGATGAAAATGAAAGACATGCTGGTAACAGACTGAACCTCAACACCAAGGGTGAATCTCACAAACATTATGTTGATCAGAATTAGCCAGAAATAAAAGGACGTGCTGTGTGGTTTCCATTGATACAAAGTTAAGAAGCAGGCAAAAAAATCTCTCCTGTTTAAAGTTAGGATGGCAGTTACGTCTGCGAGGGGAGGAGGGTAACTGGAGGCTGCCGACATGGGTTTCTGAAGTCCTAGTAATATTATTCTTGAGTGGGCTGGTGTTTACAGGGGAGAGTCCACTGTTCATCAAGGGTGATTTACACACTTTTCTCTAAGGATGTTATTTAAAAATTGTTAAATTTGGGCCAGCCCCATGGCCTAGTGGTTAAGTTCAGTGTGCTCCACCTTGGCGGCCCAGGTTCATTTCCCAATCATGGACCTACACCACTTGTCAGCAGCCATGTGGTGGCAGTGTCCCACGTACAAAATAGAGGAAGATGGGCACAGATGTTAGCTCAGGGCCAATCTGCCTCAGGAAAAAAAAAGTGTTAAATTGTTAATTGTTTCAAAGCTTGTTATGTCTGAAAGTATCAGGTATAGGATATGGAGAAATAGGGAGATTATTGGTAGGTGGGCCAATGAGTATGTGTTGTAAAGTTGGAAGTGTGTGCACCTTGCAGCTGGACGGTTCTACTTCCAGACACATACCCTAGAGAAACTCTTGCACGTGTGCACAAGGAGATGCGCACAACCACGTTCACTGCAGCATAGCTTATAATAGCAAAAAAACATTAAAACAGCCTAAATGCCCATCAGTAGGGGAATGGATAAATATAATGAGGTATTTTTATGTAGTGAAATATTAAACGCTTAAAAGAAACATCTATACATTTATTATCACAGAGCTCTAAAAATACTGTAGTGGATGGAAAAGCAGCTTGCAGAATATGTGTAGCATAACACACACGTGCACATTTTTAAAGTATAAAACAGTACTGTGTATTATTCCTTGACACATATATATGTTACTGTATTTTAAAATGGCTGAAGGAAACTCCGTACACTGAAGCCATGATGGTGGCAGCCTCGAGGGGAAGTGGGTGAAGGGACTGGATTGAGGATGGGGACAAAGGAGACTGTCACTTCATCCTCATTGTCCTGTTTCTTTTATTTTTTTAAGAAAGTGAATAGGACAAAACGTTACCATCTGTTCATTCTGGGTGACAGTTCACAGAGTGTCAGTCGTTATTCTCTGTAAATTTCTCTTTGTTTAATTCCTCAACATGAAAAAAAGAGTGTTGAGATAACAGTATCATCCTTTAGTCTTCAACTTATTTATTATTTAGGTATTTTATGTTCCTGTTTGTTTTAAGAAAAAATTTATGTAAATATAAGTTTAGTTGAGATAGCTAAATTTCCATTTTTTATGTTCACAAAGCATCCTTGTTTTGTGTAACATTGTTTGGTATCAAAACGTGGCCTTTCTACAGACTTGTGAGGATTAAGTGACAGTCCTACCAGGCTGTAGATGGAGCACGTACGTCCTGTGAGAGACGTCCTCCTGTCCGTCAATCACTAGGAGCGTCCGTTTGTACTGGAGCCAAAATGGCCACCAGCAAACAGAAAAACAAGAACCGAAAAGATTTCCTCTTTGGTGCTAATGATTTGTTGGTACATGATTGTTAAGACCGAAAGTCTGAAACCATCAGTGTTTATTGGCTCAGTCTCCAGTCTGTCTCTCCAGGGTCATTTCCACAAGAGTGACAAAAGAATGGGACGCTGCCTTTTCCACCACTGACAGTGCTTCCTGCATTAATCCCTAAGCAGCACGGAAGTCCCCTCTGGCGGGGAAAGGGCATTCTGCGAGTCCTTTGTAAAGAGAAGACAGCGGATGGGCTAAGCACGTGGTGGAGAACACTTTTACAGACTGTCGCTCGCTATGGCTGTTGGTTATTGGGCAGGGAGTCTGGCAGCCTTTGGGAGTGCACGCAAGGTGGTTGCTGTGACCATACTTGAAAAATGTGGACTTAGACTAAATATCATACAGTTAGGCCGAAAGTTGAGGCTTTTAAACTGGCACAGGGAGGAGTGTGGTGGGGGACCTCCATTCCTTGCCCTCATGGATCCCCCAGGGTCTTCATCTAGAGCAGAACTCAGGTCTCTCTCGCTGCGCCTTATTCACTCCTCCCCATGAGCAGGCGAGGGAGGAAGGCATCCAAAAGACAGAAATGAGCATACTCAGACCCTTTCGTCTGTCTGATTTCGGAGCCAGCCTGTCCTCAGGATATGTGTAAGCCTCTGGTCTGCTCTCAGCTATGCGCTCTGAGGGAGCCCAGGGGGTGTCCAGCAAGGTCAGGGATCGGTGGCTTAGTCTTTCTAAGTCAAGGGTCGGTTATGAGCAAGGCCTCTGCCTTAGATCTGAAGCTATGCTCTCTCCAATCAACTTTATCAGTAACAGAAGCAATATTTTCAGCTCCATCTGTCTGGCCTCACCTCTCAACTGGTTCCAGACTCAAGAGGGGAAGAGGGGCAGGTTTTATTAATTGCTGCCATCAAAAACCTGATGATCAATTAATATAAGACCTCAAGGTGATAAATTAATGTAATCCATGATACCAACCCATAATTTGTATAGCAAATTCATTCTTACACCCATAATTATCCTGTCTGAATAGTTAAGTGAGCATTGTTCACTTACTTTTAGATTTCATAAGTATAGTTAAAAAAAATAAATATATGTACTATTTATCATGGCATGCTTGAACTCTCATAGCTAGAGATAGACTCCATTAAAACAGACATTTTATAATGTATTATATTATCTACATAGGTGTACATATACACAGAATATGTACTTATTTAATTAAATCATTTAACAGCAAAAACAAAACACACAAAAAACAACCCACTGTGCTGTGACACAACACTGATCTGTATGTGGCCAGCTGTACGTTGGCAGAACATAGTGATTTTTAAGGATAAATTAATGTTCCAATTTCTCTGGGATTTCCTGTATATTTGTGGTGGTTTATGGCTGACCTTTAGTGTAACTGTAGCTTACGATTAATATTTAATAGAAGATTCATTTCTGTGGCAGGATACACATTTACTCTCCAGCATTGAATAAAAGCTACTATTCTGCAAGAAGGATATAAGATATTAATTTATAACAACACATGCCAATAATAGTGATCTAATTCTTCCAAACCATTTCTTCCCAGGTCCTGGGAGAAGCATGGCTCCGGCAAAGCATGATTCTTTTCTTCCAGAATATTCGACCTTCAACACATCTATCCATGCTGCAATCAGACACAAGAACTGGAAACTCCTCACTGGCTACCCAGGTAGGCTGCCTAGCATTTCCTACAGAACAGCAAGGAGAACATAGCAAACACCAGCTACCTTTTGCAAAGCGTATCCCCAGGGCTGCGGATTGAGGCAGCTGAATGAGGAGGAGTCGTGTAATCTACTGGTCCTGACCGAACAAAAATTGAGAATTAATGGTAGGGAGGGGTGACCGGAAGCAATGCCACTCTAATGCTTCATGGAAACTAAGGATTTCAGATATGTGTGGCTATCAGCACGGCACGTCTAGCTAGTGAAGAGAATCTGTGAAAGCTACGTCCTCAACCAATGGTGCCACTGGGGGAGGAGTTGCTTCCTCTGAACACATTCTCTAAAAGTAACATCTTTTAAATACTTTTTAAGTATGTTGTATGACGGTTAAGACTACAATGCAGTTAATGTTTATAATGAGGACGTTCTTGGCATCTGCAGCAAGACAATTCTTTGTTGGTTGGGGCTGTCCCATGTGTTGCAAGACATTTTAGCATCCCTGGCCCATGACCACTGAATGCTAGTAGCACCCCCCAAGTCATTGTGACAGCTAAAAATCCTCACCCCCGCATACATGCATGCACATTCCTGGATGCCCCCAGTTGAAAGCAGTGAGACAAGTCTAGTTAAAGCTCTAGAAGTCGGAGTCTGAGACAGATCTAGACATGGCATCAAGGGCCGCATCTTTCTTATGTGTCTTTGCCCGCAACCCGGCTCAGCCTTGTCTCCCAGACTCCTTCCTCAAAGTCAGAACCTGCCTACAATGCTTCTCCCCCAGTAAACTGTTGTATCTCTTTGCCAGGGTGTGGTTACTGGTTCCCTCCACCATCTCAGTACAATGGTTCTGCAATTCCCCCATCAGACCCACCGACCAAGACCTTATGGCTCTTTGACATTGATCGGGACCCAGAAGAAAGACATGACGTGTCAAGAGAACATCCTCATGTCGTCCGGCAGCTCCTCTCCCGTCTGCAGTTCTACCACAAACACTCGGTGCCCGTGTACTTCCCGGCACAGGACCCCCGCTGTGACCCCAAGAGCACTGGGGCCTGGGGCCCTTGGATGTAGGATTTCAGGCAGCCTGCAGGAGGAGAAAACCTCTCTGTTGCAAGCTGGACATCAGGCCTTTCCTTGTGTGACTCTTGTCATATTTCTTCTCCCAACCTGGGTTCACCTGGCCCTTCTCTCGCTCCTAAACCACACGGGGTGTCTAATTTCAGCCCCTAGTGCATGTAAGAAGCTGATAAAATCTGGAACGCTCCTGCTCTTGGCTGGGGCATGTGTCTAGAGGACAGGGTGACTGGGTTCATCCCCTTTTTCCTGAGCTGTGGGACAGCTGGAACTTGACTTGAAATAGGAAGTTATTGAGTCCGGGAGGCTGGAGCAGCTGGCTCTTTTTGCCTCACAAGTCAGATGTTAGATTTCCCTCTGCCAATAGCCGGGTTTTATTGGAGTGACTCACTCACATTTTTTGTAACAATGAAGGGAGCAGACAATTGTTAATGGTTCTGTTGGCCACGGGTTCTCCCTGTCTGTGAGAGATCGTGTTCAGGCATTCCATGTGAATAACCCGCCTTGGTTCACCCCTCACTCACTCATTTCATCCTCACCTCGTCACTCATCCCATCACGGAGCATAAGGCCCATTTCATTGTTAAGGTCAGCATGGCAATATGCCTACTTCTTGGTTTTGGTTTTTAAAATAAAGAAATGTGATTTTATCCCCAAGTTTTTTCCCAGCCATTGCTCATTTTGGCTAGCCCTCCTGCTCCCCCCACCCCCGTGGCTCTTTTCCTTCCCTTCCTTTTGACTCAGGCGTCCTGTGCCTGGGAACGCTGCTTTGCTCTCCGCCATGAGCACCACTAATTTTTGGGACACTGCTGAGCCCTGCCTGCCCTTTGCCCCTAACGCTGAAGCTGGAGCCCTGCCCAGAGAAGGTGGAGGAGGGTGACTCTGTGAGCGTGCTCACGGTGGACATGAAGAGGCCTGGGTGGCGATGCGTGCATCTGTGTCGTCTGTTTGGGGAGGTGTTTTCTAGTTGCGTGGAGTTTGTTATCACGACCTTTGTCTCATAATGTACTGAGTTGCACTGCTGTTCCCTGGCAGTGGGGAGAAGCCCTGGGAAGGATGACCTTGTCCTGGGATCATGAAAGTGGCAGTTTGAAAAATAAAGTGGCCTGCATCTGGGATACTGGGCCCGGGTGAAGCAAAGGAGGCACATGCACATTTCTCTTATTCTCTCAGTTTTACTGCTTGTGTTGAGGTTCTGGGGTTGGGGAAAGAAGATGCACAGAAGGACCTGCCAGCCCTTTCTCAGTCCCACTAACGTCCTGCTAATGCAGATCAGTCCAAACTAGCTCCAAAGAGTGTCAAACTCAGAGAAATATGTGCAAAAACTTAACTTTTTTTGCACTAGCTCCACTTGTTCATTCACTGCTTATCACTAGTGCCTGGTACATAGAAGGCACTCAATATACTTTTCAAACATAAGTGAATGAATGGACAAATGGGTAAATAAGAAAGTCTCACACCATGAAAGGTGCTACTCCAATGAGCTGGATTCAGGGGTAATATAAATATCTTCCAACCACTGCTTTTCTGTCCTGAGCTGCCCTCCTGGGGTGGGAGCATGGTCTGTGTATCTGGGCAGTCATAGGATGTGCCATAGTAAAGTCATAACGTCCTCTTGGCGGGGGGAGAGGGGATATGCCTACCAAAGGTATTCTTTTGCCAATAATCCTCAATTGTATTCTTCATGGGACACTAAAAACTAAACCCACCAGATAATAGGATATAGGTTCTGGTAGAGCCATCCTGCAGTTCAAGAGCAGGATTTTCTGTTCACTACTAACTGGTATGAAGTTATGGTGATTGGTAGGAAGTGGTGCTAGAACTAATGACACCTGTTACTAACCTGTACCCTACTCCTGGGTTGGCAAACAGCTGGCCAAAATGCTGTTACCTCTCACTCCCAAGCTTGTGGCAGATATTATGGACTGAGCCCACATGCTCCTTCTGGATCCTTCTAATGCCAGGGCTGTAGGTAACCATTAACGCTGTAAGATTGGAGGCCATCAGTCCATGACGCCTATTTGTGCTTCCTGCTGTGCTCCCAGCAGCTGTCCCCAATTCCAGTCCCTTGATTGCTGCATTCACTGTGGATGTTCTGCACTCAATGGATTTAAAAGGAATTTTAGACTAACTTTTTGTAAAACTTTTGGGATTTTTATCCATCATAGAAGGTATCTCATTAGATTGTCTTATTCTGTACAAGAATATGAACAGATTCATATGTTGTTGTTAGGAGTTTTAATGTTCTCTCTTTCCAAATTTGATTACCTTTAAAGAAGGGTTTCGTTTACTCAATTGTTTTTCATTGTTACTATATAATTGTTCCACATTTGGGGGACAAAAAAATTTATCTTTTAAAAATGTGTCAGCCATGAGCATGGGGTTTCCATTTGGGTGGTGAAAAAGTTCTGGAACTAGATAGTGGTGATGGTTGCATAACATCATGAATGTGCTTAATGCCTCTGAATTGTACACTTTAAAATGGTTAAAATGATAAACTTTAAGTTTTTACCGCAATTTTTAAAATGTGTCAGCTCATTTTACGGTATGTGAATTATATCTCAATAAAGCTATTAAATGAATAAACATAGCAAAAGTTTCAGAGCTAAAAAAAATGTGCCAGTCATTGCCCCAAGAATACAAACTATAATATAGGATACTGGAGGGAGGTCCAGAGAGGGTAGCAGTGAATATAAAGTGATAATAAGAGAGTGTATTAGTTCTCTATTGCTACATAACAAATTGCCCCAAAATTCAGCATCTTAAAACAAACATTTGTTATTTCACCCATTATATGAGGCTCAGGACTCTAGGACTGGTTTAGTTGGGTGGTTCTGACTCTCATGAGGTTGTAGTCAAGCAGTGGGCCTGAGCTGAGTCATCTGAAGGCTTGCCTGGGGTTGGAGGACCCACATCCAAGATGATTCACTCATAAGGCTCTTGGCTAGTGGCCTCAGTTGCTTGCCCTGAGGGCCTCTCCATGAGCTGCTTGCATCCTCACAGGTGACAGTTACCTTCCAGCAGAGCAAGTAATCTAGAGAAAGAGAGCAAGAGGGAGCTACAGTGCCTTTTGTGACCTGGTCTCCAAAATCATACACTGTCACCTCCAACTTTTTTCACTTCCTTAAGGAGGAGTTATTAGGTCCGGCCCATACAAGGGGAGGAGAATTAGGCTCCACCTTTTGAAGGAAGTGTCAGATTTGTGGACGTGTTTGACACCACCACAGACAACAGAGGAGAAAGGGCAGATGTGGCCTCCTGGGGAATAGAATGTCCATTCAAGTCTACTTGCATTTATCAAATGCTGCTATTCGAAGAGAGAGATTAGAAAGCATCCAGCTTTACTATTTAGTGGTAGAATGACCATAGAAGAATCTTTTAACCCTCTCTGTGCCTCAGTTTTTTTCCTGTGAAGTGATGGGTTGAATTAGTTAAACTCTAAAGTCTCTTATATGCCTAGTGTCCAGAACAATGCCTGGTACATAGTCGATGTTCAATAAATGTTGGTTGATTGACTCTTAACTGACTGAACTCCAACGTAAGGATGTGAAATAATACCATGCTAAAAATAGCCTGAGACTGTGCTCAATCTTGAGAAAAATCATTTTTAACAGTATTATTAAATCTATTCAATGCTAATTGTTAAAGGCTTACTTGGTTTCAACCCCTTCCATTTTTAAAAAATGCAGTCTTTGTCCAAACATAAAATTACCTAAATCAAGAAAGTAAAAAGGAAGAATTACATCTTTTTTAAAAAGCGCATCGGAGAAATAGCCCAAGTGTCCAAGAACAAACAAATGGATAAACAAAATGTGGTATATCCACACGATGGAATGTTACTCAGCCGTCAAAGGGAAAGAGATTCTGACACATCCTGTAACGTGAGTGAACCTTGAGGACATTATGCTAAGTGAAAGAAGCTAGACATGAAAGGACAAATATTATGTAATTCCAGTTATATGAAATATCACAAATAGGCAGATTCTAGAGACAGAAAGTAGATTAGAGGCTGTGAGGGCTGAGGGGAGGTGAGAATGGGGAGTATACTCAACGGGTAGAGTTCCTTTCAGGGTGATGAGAAAGCTTCGGAAATAGATAGTGGTGATGGCTGCGTAACACTGTGAATGTGCTCAGTGCCACTATGTGGTACACTTACAGCTGGTTAAAATGGTAAATTTTATGTTCTATATATACAGTACATATGTATTTTACCACAATATAAATAAACAAACAAATGAGGGGCAAGTGCGTCTGAGACATTCTGAATTGGGAAGTGGGGAGAAACGTAGGAGCCAGCAGAGGACTAGCTAGGTGGGGTCTAGTCCCCCAACCTACTTCAACCAAAGGAGCTCATTTTATAGATTGGCCTTCCATGGAAGACAACTAACTGATGGTGACAGAAGCTGACCTAGTGCTTTCCTTGGGGGGAGAGGTACCGTCTGGGGAGGGGTAGGATGAAACCCTTGGGGGTTCAGAAAATGCTCTATATCTTGATCTGGGTGGTCTTTACATGGATGTATCCATGTGTAAAAATTCACAGAGAGGTACACTTAAGTTATGCACTTTACGGTTTGTATGTCACACCTAATTTAAAAAGTATGTTAAAACAAGAAAACACCTGTGCTTAGAGCAAAAAGCATTACATATTTATCTCTTATGTTCCCAAAACGTGCTTGGAAACACACAAGCAAACATTTGTAAATAAAACATTTTAAATGCTGCCAGGAAATTCACTGTTTGAAGAAACCTTTCATTGAATCCCTTTGTAAACACAAATTTAGGGTTTTTTTATTTACAAAAGCTGAATACATCGAGTTAGGTTTCTTACGCTAAGATTTTTTACCCCGGTTTTCCTGTAGGATTTACACCCAGGTATGGGTGCTGGGGGAGGGGTGTAGAGACCAGAAAGTGATACAAACAAAACCGAGGGGCTGGCCTCTGCCCCTCAGAGGCTTAGGTACCAAGTTCTTTCCAGCTTAACAGGTTTTCAGAATATTGCAGCCAATACTAAATATGTTGAAGTAGTAATGTTCCTTCCCAGTCGCCACTGCAACTTGAAAATCTATTTTTTGTCCAAGCAGAGAACAGTCATGGCTTGTGTCAATTGTTCATTTTCCGGCTGTAGAAAGACCAGCCTGCGCACCCTGGCCACCACTCCTCCCCTCCCAGAATAGGTAGATTTGACCTGCTGAGAGGTACCCGCCACATCTCTTTCACCTTTGCCCTGTTGCCATGGGAGCCACCCACCAGGTGGCACAAAACAGAGGAGGAAGGCGGAGACTCCCGCTGCCCTGGGCCTAGCCTCAGGGCTTTGTGACCTTTAGGAAGCTGGAGAGACAATTCTATTCTCAAACTAATTCACCCAAGTAACCAATGTTGAGCTTAAGCTATTCATTTGATAACTTGTACTACTTTTCTGACAATGGAGATAATAGATATCACTATAACAATTTTAGAAAATATAGAAAATACATAGAAAATTAAGCAATCCATAAGCCACCCACCCAGAGAGAGCCACCACTCACCTTCTTTTATACCCCTTTAAGAGTAATTAAGTGGCCCACTCCCCACATTGGTTTTCAAATCCTGCTGTGCCTGGCTGAGCCCTCATTGGAGACTCAAGGTGGTAGATAAATAAAATGTTACCTCTTTTGGAAATCTTCATTTTAATCCCATTAATGAAGTGTAGATGTTCCCAGGATTTTTGCCCCAAAGGGGCGTGATTTCACACACGCATTCTCTCACCATCTGCCCCACGGGCCTCAAGCGGGGACCTGGGCACAGAGGACCCAGCGTGTGATCAATCAAACCAGCAAGCAGGCGCCGGCCCTGCTTCACACCAGAGGCGGGCAGTGGGATAAACACACACACTGCTCCCTCCTCAGGTAAACACGAGTTTTATTTACATTAAATGAATCAAAGCTTGGCTTGCCCTTTGTGCCAGCATCTTGTAGCTGGGATCATTCAGGTGCACACTCTGATACGCATTGGGGCGAGGACAGGGGCAGCTGATGGCAGCAAGGCAGGAGGGCACATCGGATCAGACCTGCTCCCAGGAAGCTCACCCAGCACGGAACACAAACGGGAGGCCCAGCAGACAGGAGGAGGAGGTCCCGGGACAGAAGAGAGGTGAGGTCCAGGGGGCTCGGAGTCAGAGGAAATGCAGCTTAATGTCTTGTGTGGGGACCTGAAATTGGCCACCCCATGATATGTCTCTTTGGCATCAGGAGTATTTGAGGCTGATTGCTTTTGATAAACTGGGACAGGGAAGGAGGCTCTGAGGAATGGAACTTGCCCTTTGTTAGCAAACATTTACATTTGTAAGGTAAATCTCTATCTGTAAAAGTTGCCTCCCTCTCTGTACCAAGAAGAAGAAAGGAGACGACCTTCTCTCTAGAAACTCTTAATCAATGCCAAAGGCAAGGACTTAAATCTGCATTTTATTGTGCTTGTCTGGCAACCTCCTGTAACTGACTTCCCTCCCCCTCCCAACGTTGGCCTTTCTTTAAGGATTAAGCACCTTTCCTTAGGCTAGGAACTGATTGCTGTGCTCACCTGTGACCACCCAGCTAGACACAGCAGACTTGCCTCCTGCTACGCCCTCCGAGATAGCAGACCCACTACCTGCTGTGTCCATCAAGTGCTGTGCCAACAGGGCAATCTTGTGACTACTGTGGGAGGGACATTTCAATCATATGTGAAATATCCTGTTTGGGGGTATATAACCACTCTGTGCACCCCACTTCTTCGGTGCCCTTTCTTCCTTCCGGAAGAAAGGCCCCAGGCCATGGTTCCTCATAAAGCTTTGTTTAATTTTCTCCTGCTATTCTGTCTCATGTGAATTTAATTCCTTCTCTGGCCAGACAAACCTACTTTGGATAGAGGAAATGTCTTCCTTCCCTACGCTGGCAAGGAAATTCATTTCACCTTAATGTTTGCCTCCTGTCTTTTTACACCCCTGAGAGCAGTGAGTCCTTTCTGTGTGAACTGTTTTTAAATTCGACTAGAGGATCCTCTGAATCTGTTAGGGAAGCAGCTGGGTTGGCATGAAATGTTACTTGTTGTGGCTTCACAAGAGGGCGGCTGGCTTTTCTTGGTTCTAAAGTCAGAGCTTGAATGAAAGTGTTGGGTTTAACACATACAGGTGGTGGAAATACGAGGTCCCCACATCCGGGACTCCGGGACGAGGAGGAATGCCCTTCCCAATGGGACCTGCATGTGTTCTGTCCCTGAGGTCCACAGATACTCCTTCCCACCAAAAAAGCAGCTCGAGCGCCCCAGGCAGCCAGGGCCAGGAGGGGCCACGGCAGCACCTTGTGGCCCCACCAGACCTCTATGGCTCATAGAGGCCCTTTCACTACTGGAGTCTTAACACGGTCCTTTTCATTGAATTTACACTCTTTACTAGAATAAGTAATTTAAAGAGATGCCTTTTTATCACCATGGTAAAGGGAAAACTAATGTCACTGGTAATCATAAACATACAGATAATCAATACAAATTGCTTTTAAATTTGAGCTAGAGACTGTTTCTGGCCTGGAAGGAAAGAAAGAGTATTGACGAGTGAATAACTTTTTCACTAAATGATTCAACGTCACCAATGCCAGGGCTATGACTTGGCAACACGTAAACTCCCTGAGGCCAGGCCTGCCCGTCTTTGGGGTGTGCCCAGGCCCCACAGCGGTTCTGGGAGGGACTCCATGCTGGCTGGTGATTTCACTCCTGTCCCCTCCATCTGCCGTTTCCTCGAAGAGTCACAGCTGCGCTTTTCCTCTAACAGTTTGCTTTGCTCGTGTGCCTGGAGACCCCAAGGAAGGGGAGCATTCGAAATGCGTTAAATGTATAAACACAAGAAGAAACCAACACACACATCCTCTGCAGTACAGCAGAGAAATCACAGAGGGCCCAACCAAAGGCAGAAGCCAGGAAAGTCAATAAACAAGTTAGTGGAGAAGGCGACATACAGAGATGAAATGTTTGGAAGAAATAAAATGAAAGGAGGAGAAAAGAAACAATAGGGAAGTTTCTTGGGTTAAGAAGTTCCCTGAGCCTTATTTTCCAGGAACGTAATCTCTGGTCCCCCAGATCATAAAGCTGCCCTCTCAGGCTCAGTGTCACTAAGGCCTCGAAATTGCTCCTGCTCGGCCTCAGCAGCCAGCTCACACCTGCTAGGTGCCCACCTGGCCCCCTCTGGCCCACATTCACCACACCCTCTTTGGATGCTGTAAGTTAGCCCATCAGATATGCCATATTTTGCCAATCATAGGGGCAAGGCAAGGAATTAACCTTTATTGAAGACATGCTATATGCCAGACACCATTTGCCTTTTACAATGGCTACCAAACTCCTCCCAATAATATCTAATCGTTAGGTGAATGGTTTTAGCATTTTAGAGATTATCTCGCATAAAGTCACACAGCCAGTAGAGTTGGAGTTGGAGCCCAGATTGCTCTTAAAAAGCCCCACTCTCTGCTGTGCTCCCCCGCAACCTCCAGTCTTCAGCTTCCTTCCCTTCCCTTTGTCCTGTGCCTTTAAGCACAGAGGATCATTTGTAGGAAGTCCTGTTCTTACATCTGAGGACTCAGGGAGCCTCTGGAGAGTGATGTTCAAAGCGCGAGTTAAGAACATCGCCTGGCAGAGGGCCTGGGGTGGGTGGGGTGCAGGGAGCCAGGGAGGAGACCAGGGCAAGGGTTTAGCCGAGAAGTATGACAACTAGCAAGGAATGAAAGTAGGAGGATCAAAAGCTAATTGGAGGCTTAGAAAACAAACCAAAAAGAAACATTCGAAAGGAGTTGGAATTACTCAGCCTGGAAAGGAAGTTTATGAAAGTTTTTCATATATTTCACAGGAAAATTGCCTTCCCACAGAGAGGTCACAGAGACCCGTGACCGTCATCCCAGGGACAAACCCGACAGCACAATGCTGAAAGCAGGAGGGCAGGGAGACTGACAGGTGGGATCTTAGAGCTCACTGCAGCTTCTGCCCACGGACTGGCTCCAAAATGGCCTTTCACGTCCTATCTTGCTCTGTCACCAATTGGCATCAGCCAGTCTTTAACCTTCAGTTACAATCAGTTACCCTCTTGCTGAACTGGAGGAGAGGGAGCCGGTTCCTCCTCGCAACCTCGACTACTCTCTTATACAAGGTCAATCCGACCTCAGTCCCCCTCTGAGATAAAGAATATCAGACACTTCGGACACACAGATATTTCCTTTTTTTTTCTGCTTTTTCCCCCCAAATGCCCCCAGTACATAGTTGTATATTTTAGTTGTGGGTCCTTCCAATTGTGGCATGTGGGATGCCACCTCAACATGGCCTGACGAGCGGTGCCATGTCCGCGCCCAGGATCCGAACCAGCGAAACCCGGGGCCGCTGAAGCGGAGCGCGCGAACTTAACCACTCGGCCTTGGGACCGGCCCCCTACACAGGGATTTCTTAAATTTCTGTTTGTAGTGATCGATCTTTGGGGATTGGGATGAAAGAAGGTAATGCAGAGGCTAGCCTGTGTATGTGGACTTTCTTATAAGGAGTATTGCTTTGTGAGGGTCACTCCTTGAAAAGGAATAATTAATGACTATGCTTAGGTTCAGATAGTATGTTTTGGTTTAAAATGTTATATAAATTACAGCGCTCTGTGTTGGTCGACAGGACCTGGTTAGAGAAAAGCTTTGATTTCTATGTTAGCTAAATGTTGTTGCCTTAAGTAAAAAGTTAAGTGGCTGAGCCATAGTAATTACACCCACAACTCCTCTAACTGGTTGAGAAGGAAAAACATCCATGAGGGGTAATTTCCTGCTTTTCACGCAACAGTCTAGGGGTATCTGGTGCCGCAGGAGGGCTGAGCTGCTGTGGGGCTGGCTTTTAGATGAAGTCATCGCAGTGATTATCCCTAGTTACCAAGCAGAGTCATGCCAAGGTCGAGCTAATCCATCCCCAGACGGGGAGAAATAGCCGGTCTCTCGGGGCAGGGATGGCAGAAAGAAGTGAGCAGGTGGGGCCACTAGCCTCTCCCCTCTTACCACCAGGTTTTATGCATAACGCCATCAGTGAACAGAACTTGACCTCACTCTTACCAGAACTTATTATCATACAGTTTAAAAATTCTCGCTGGTTGACAGGCTTTGAAATGTTCCATTATTTGCATTTCTTTCAGCGCCAGGAGAGTGGACATTTCCATAGTTACTGGCCCCTATGGCTCTTTTTTGAGTGGCCTGATCAGCCCTCCCCAGTCTCACCGGCCGTCTAGAGGGAGTGGGAGGGAATGGAACGGAGCCGCAGCTGAGAGGGTGGTGCCAGGAGAAGCCAGGCTTTGTTTGGCCCTGAACCATCCTCTCAGCTGGGGCTGCTCGTCCTCAGAGTCCAGGTGGTGCATTTGGAGTGGTCAACGGCCTCTGCTTTATATCCAGTCTTTGGAACCATGTCAGGAAGCAGAAAAGTAAAGAGGTGGGGAGGGAATGGGCACAATGCTTTTCCTTTCTTATGGACAGAGCCAAATTGACACTTGTGAGGCCTCTGGGAAGGCTAATAATTCGGTGCTCCTTCAAAGTGATGTTCTTTTAATATTGGGATATTAATGTTGCAATAGGAGCACTCAGGGCAGGGGGAAAGCTGGAGAGGGAAGGCCTCTGGCAGCTGCCCAGTCACTGCCCCAAGATCCCAAACTCAGCAAGTCTGGTCCCAACCGGCACACCCCACTTGGCAAACAAAAGCCTTTCAGGTAGCTGACTCACCTTTCTTAGACGCAGGTCAACAACCATTTGTTTCTTACCAAGTATACCCCTGGGGGATCTCACCCCCAGGGCCGCATCCCACCCAACCCCACCTGCGTGAGAGGAGTTCTGACAACAACAACTGTCTCTCCCTGGTGACAGGGCTTTCCCACTCTGAGGCCCTCAGATAGTGGCTGGCCCATCCTGAGTCTGGATTTACTCTGATGTGGGCTGGGCCCTTTTCCTCTGAGCAAGCCTCAGTGGAGGGGCTCCTTGCCCTCCTTATAAACAACTTACTATGACCGTAAACTTGCATCCAACTTTTAGCCTTTCCTTTTCCAGTATGAATAATCCCAGTGCCTTTCATCTGACTTCCTGCGCTTCTCCCAGCTCTTCCGATCTGCCAGCACCCTGGTGATGCCGGCCCTTAACACAGGCCGTGTAGTTCCTTCTTCTCTTCCCTCTTTGCTGGACTAGCTCATCCTTCAGGTCTCAGGTCCCTTCCCCTGGGCCTGCTGAACTGCAATGGTGCTCCTGACTTGCACGTCTCCTATGAGAGTGGACATCACACTGTCTGGTTATTCGTGTATAAATGTCCATCTTTCCCACCAGGCGGAAGTCTCATGTCTGTTTGTTTAGCGGAAGGTCTCTGTCTCATAGAGCAGTGCTTGGCACTTAGACAACACTAGTTGAATGAACGTTCCATTTGTTGAATTCAAAGGACCTACCCACCTTCTGATTTCAGGATGACATTGTAGTCCCTGATTTCAAAGTCTGGCCCTTGTTCTCGACTCTTCCATCTTACCTGCAAAGCATGTCTACTCAGCCTGATGGCAGCCCCACCCTGTTGCCTGCTCTGGGGAAGTGTGTGTCTGGAGCTCTGGCCATCTTCAAAGGGCTTTGTCTGGATCAGCTGGAAGGACTTCAGTGCCTTTGCCAAGTCAGGGTGAACGTTACACTCTCCAGACTTCTCAGGCAGGTTTGTTTACCCTGGGATCTCCTCCAAGATATCAGCTGATGGCTTCAAACGCTTTTTATGGCCTCAGACTTGGACAGACTCAGATTTTCCCCCTTCATCTTCCAATCCTTCCCTAAGATTTGTTCCCTCTTCGTTTGTTCAAGCCTTGTTACAGAATGCTTTTCCATGTGCAACTTTCCCTGCACGAAACTGGCCTCATAGCTTACACCTAGTGCTGAGATAAATCTTGCAGATGCCAAGGACTAGTGCAAAGGGCACGTGGCATGCCTCCTGACGCTCTTTAGTTATCAATCTATATTTACAGAGGCTTTTCTCCTTCCACAGGGTGGGAGTGGGTGGGTTTTTTTGTGTAGATACAGTGGAGATAATCTAGTGGTTTCCCTAAGGAAACTGGAGTTGGAAATTTTTTTAAAGGTGGGGGTTGGAGTTAATAGAGATACAAGCCAAGTCACCTAGATGCAGGCTAGGATAGCATGAAGCTTGGTGGAAAGTGCAAGGCCGAAGTGTATGTAAGACCACACACATGTGCATTTGTTGAGCACCTGCAATGTACACTGGTATCTGGCATGGCAGGTAACAATGATAAATAAGACATGGCTTTTACCCTCCAGGAGCTCATGGTCTGTTAGGACAATGACACAGTAGAATGGTGAACGCACGTACGCGTGGGAGGGTGGGGGCCAGGGACAGGGAGAGCAGAACCATTTGGGTCACACGCATGTCCCCTGGCCTGGCAGTGCTGGTACTGACTGCGGCAGTGAGGCCTAGAAAGCAATTTTTTTCCAAAAGCCTCAAACCCTGGGGCCCCAGATCACAAAAGTCTCCCATGATCATCAAGATTGTTTGGAGATTCTGATATTTCTCTCTCTGCTGGACTCAGAAACCAGGAAAACGACCCCCACACCATACCCCCTGCCTTGTATATTAATTATCTGTTGCTGTGTAACAAATTATCACAAAATCATGTCTGGAGACAAACAATGTTTATTATCTCCTCCAGTCTCTGAGGTCAAGAAGCCAAGTGCATCTTAGCCGGGTGATTCTAGCTAAGGGCTGTCATGGGGTGGCCATCTTAACTGAAGGCTTGACTTAGTGGGGGGGGGAATTCAAGAGAGAGCAGGAGTACCCCTGATGGAAGCCACAGTCATTTATAACCTAACCTCTCAGAAATGACAGCCATTATTTTTGTCATGTTCTATTTGTTAGAAGCCAGTCACCAAATCCAGCCCCTACTCAAGGGGAGGGGATCACTCAAGGGTGTGGATACCAGGGGGCAGGGCTCCTGGGCCATCTTAGGGGCTGTCCCTGTGCCCCGCTCTGGTCCCACTCTTGTCTCTATCTCATTGCCTCCTCTCTAGTTCAGGATGTGCTTATGAAAATGACTGGTGATTGCTTCCCTCTTTCCTGTGTCACCAAGAGTGGGAATGGCCTTAATTCATAACAGGACATTAAGTTGGATGTTCTGCTTACACAGGTAGGAGAGGCAAAAGGCCTTGGCGGCACTGGCAGAACCTCCCTCTAAAGAGGCCAAGTACCGGTAGGAGGAGGTGGTTTTAGGATGAGGTCGTTTCTGGAAGTGTTTGACTAGAGGGGAGCCATTTTGCAAAATACGACTTGAAGCTCTGGCCCCTCCCTTGATGCAGCGATGTGGTCCACCATGCTTTAAAGATGCTTATAGTCCCCTGTGCTTGAAGGCACAGAGCCGAATAGCTGTCTTGCAGAAGAGGACAGTTTCTGAGCCATCTCAGGGCTCAGCCTTGCCCATATGGTCACAGATACCAAACTGGTCTTGGACCTCCCCCACCTTCCTGGCTCGGTGACTCAGCATAGTCACCCTCAGCCTCCTGTCATCCTTGTCTCCTGTCAGCTCTCTGCTGGCTCCAGTCACTCCTTGCCTCCATCCTAGTGGAGAAGCACTTATAGAACAACTCGTTCCCAGGGGCTGACAGAAGCCCCTGGTTATCCAGGGTTCAGTATCTAAGACCCCAACTTATAAGGTGGCCTGGGGAAGCAAAAGTGGTCATACCACAATGGTGACTGATGAACTTACTCACCTCTCATGAAAGGCGCCCATATGCAAGTACCGCCATCCTAATGAAGCCGGCCTCCTTCCTAGCCACCCGCCTCGCCCTCCGTGTCAGCCATCCCCCAGCTGATTTCCCCAATGTTGTACATATGCAGAAATAAGATGAAAATCAAACGCACTTTCATGAAGTGGGCAGTGAAACTGGAGAACTGCTCATTCACAGATGAACTCATTAACAAAGAAGGATTTGGCAGAATTAGATTACTTAACAGGGAAGGAGAGAAAACTGACAAAGACACTGACACAGGCCCTTCAAAAGAAGGTGATTTGAATATCAAATGTGGAGGAGAGGCCCTCAGGAAACTGATGAAACTCTGGAATATTTTTGCAAAGATATTCCTCTTTATCTTCCTGTCCTTGAGTGTAAAATGAAGGCAGACACACTGTGCTATCATAGAAATTTATCGAACAGCTAATGCCAAAAAACATCCACCCAGTCTTTTTTTTTTAGTGTAAGAAGTAGTGCACAATCAGGCTTACAAATCCATTTTATAAAATAGATAAAATATATTTTTATGATTTTTAGTTCCGTTGAAGATAAAGTTCCAATCAGGCCCCGTTTTTCCTCACTTTTTACTGTGGTGTGTTAGCTAAAGTCGGTGGGGGCAGTGACGTGAGGTTGAAGGCAAGTGTAAGGAAGGAGAAAGAATATTTTAAGCAGAAGCAACAGCTAACAGGATGTGAATGGAACTTTCCTTGTTGTCTCAGGTGTTGGCTGAAGCTTCAACACTGAAGTCAATGGGTGATAAGGACCCCGCATTCTAAAGAGAGGTGCTAGAGAAATCCCACAGGACTTGCTAGGACAGGCTAGAGGTTCATGAGAGGCTTCTTTGAAGGGAATTTGTAAAAGGAGAAAGCTTTGCTTTTTCCTTCCCTCCCCATGGGGAAAGGGATCCAGCCACCTACGACCAGCAAAGAGGGGGACAACAGAACCTCAAGTTTGGAGGGGTCTTGCAAGAAGGGGACACAAACTGGTCTCTCATTTCGTAGATAGAAGTGTGCTGAGTGGGGAAAGCACTTCTGCCTGCATAGCGCTGCTGCCAGAGTGAGAATACCAGGGGTCTTGGGAGAGCTCAGCATGTGTCTCCTGGAGTACGGAGGCATGAAGACTGGGATTTCTGAAAGCAGGAGGCTAGCTGGAGCTGGATGGCGGGGTAAGGGGAGCAAGGGCAGCAGGAATAGCAAGATGCACTTTTGCCATTTGAAAGGCTAAGAGTAAATAGATTCCCATGTGCCAAGTGGTGACCAGAGGGCTACCTTCTGGAGCAGGGGGTCCCAGCAAAGAGAGACTGAGAGATCAGCTGGAGAGAGCATCGCACAGGGTGCAGTGTGGGAAGTCCCTGTAGTGGGAGTAGGAGGGGGTATCTTAACAGTCCCATTGCCCCGCTGAAGGGCTGGACTTAGAATGCGGAGGACTCCAGACACTCAGGCAAAGGCCACAAACTCCGCATGTTGAACATAATGGCCTCTGACCATTTCCTCTCATTTTTCTTCATCTGCTCAGCCCTAGAGACCCCTGAAGAAGGCTAGAGAGGAGAGACGGGGAGGAATGTAGAAGGCGCATCAAGAAGAATGCAAGAACAAACCACGCCCCCTTCCTCACTGAAGGTTCCTAAACCCGGTGTCAGACCTGAGCTGGACAGAAGGAAGAAACTTTAAATTGGATGTGAGATTCAAGTTTGAGTTTAGTTTGTAGCTTTAACTATCCCAAAACAGGACTGTTCTGACATCTGAAAGTGATCAAAGTCTTGAGATCTGTCTGGCGAAATCACCAAAGAGCAAGAAAGGAGGTGCAGAGAGAGCCGATTTGAAGGTAATGGTGGGAGAACAAAAATAAGTGGAATCTTACCAAGCGCAGCTTGCGCTCACACACTGACGCGTGTTTGAGGAAGAGTACTAACCCAATTTGCAACAGGAGAGTTTTTCCATTTTACCCGTGCACTTATTCTTAGACTTTCATACCCAAGACAGTGCTGCTGCCCTGGAAGGATGCACAGTCTTGTGGGGAAACTGGAAAGGGGGTGGTGATTATAATACAGTGTCATTTGGGGGAAGTACTATGCAGACACAGAAGAGGGCCATCAGCCCAATCTTGGGGGCTGGGAAGGCTTGCAATGAGGTGACATCTAGCCAGATTTTTATGGAGAAGTAAGAGCTGATCAGACAACAGGGGAGGTGGGAGGTAGGGCAAAGATAGATGAGGAGGGGGAAAGAAGGGAGAGGACATGGAGCGTTGGTGAACTGACTTTTAGATGTGTTGATCATGTATGTAGAGATGGGCCTGGCAGTCAGGAGCCCTGTCTGTGTGCCAGAGAACATGATTGGCACCACCACCCACACACAGTTTTTGGAGCCCTGTGGGTGGACCAGATCTCTCAGAACAATTGCACATAGAGAAGAAAGAGGCTATGGATACAAGTTGGTCAGATTGCGACGCAGTGGAGAATACCCGCCCCGGAGACCTCAACACCTACATCCTGTTCTAGGACCCTGGGGCAGATAAGTTCATAAAGAAGGTAGCCAGGCAGAGGAAGCCCCCAAGAAGTAGATATATGAGGGCCTTAGCCGCCGACCTCAGCGAGGAGCCCTAGGCTGGTGTGCCGGGTGTGGCTAATGGAGCCACACAGGATCTCTCTCTGGCTTGCGGGAAGCAGATCCAAGACTTAGATACAATGGACCGAGTGGCCACCTGTCCTCATAAGCCCAGATGCAAGTCTCCGCTGTGCCTTACCCCTTTTACAGAGAGGCAAGGTGAACCCTAGAAAAGGCACAGCAAAAAAGCAGAAGGAACAAAGACGGGTTTGTTCTGGAGCCCGGAGCGTTGCTGATGGAAGCCTCACCTTTAGGTCATGTGCTTTCCCAGCAGCAGGTGGCCACAGGCTGACTCACTACACCAGACCTCTGGGAAGATAAGAACCCAAAGAAGGGTCCCAGAGGGAGAAAGCACCGACTCCAAACCCTTTGGTTCAAGAAAAGGCATTGACTGTGAACCAACGATGTGCCAACCAGTTTCCTCCTAAGAGCTGAAGAACCATCAGTGCCCCTAGAGTCCAAGAGGGATCCCCACTGTTTAAGGAACAGATGGAGGAAGAAGAATGGGACAGAACAGTTGGAAAAGTGAGAGAAACCGCAGGAGAGTGTGTTCCCATAGCAGCGGAGGGAAGAGGGTTTAGAAAGTTAATTAATAGAACAAACACGTGGCCATTGGATTTGGTGGAGGGTGGTCACTGGTCACCTTGACAAAACCAGGTCCAGTGCAGTGACAGATCCAGGAGCCCTCTGCAGGGAGGTCACATATGGATGGGACATAAGCAGCTGGAGGTAATGAGTAGAGATTGCCCTTGCCAGAAGGCTGACTATGAAGAAAAGGCAACAGTATGAGAAACAAGAGGTGCCCTAGGGGGAGGAAAATCATGGTGTGAGGAAGGATTTTTCTCCTTTTTTAAGTTGGGAGATCTTAGATCATGTTTGAATTATGATGGGGAAGAGGGAGGGAGAGGTTGACGAGGTGAACAAATGAAGCATAACTGATGGAACAAGAAGTCAGGAAGCAGGAAGGGATGGATCAGAAGAGCACAGGCATTGCACAGGTGTAGGAATTAGCATTGGATAAAAACAGGAAGTGTCTTTCACTAGCTATAGGAAGAGCAAAGGAGATGGAGGTGGATGTAGATAAGTGATAACTGGAGGGGCAGGAAGGTTGAAATTCGTTTGCTTTCCTGGGAGGTAAATAGAGGTGGCGAATAACACATCAACAAAAGCATTTTATAGTTTCAAAGTATTTGCATAAATATCTCATTTAATCCTTACAGCAAGCCAACTAGGTCTTCCAAATCTGGGTACACACCTCAGGTTCTCTGTTATTCTTGCCTACCCTGAGCTGGTTCTTTCTCCTCTTGTAGCTCCACACAACTAGAACTCTCTCAAACTAATCTTTCCCCAAACATTGGTCCAAGCCAACACTTAGAAGACTCTCTTACAGCTGCTGCCATTGAGGGAATCCAAACAACAACTGGTTCTTTGCTACATTATCTCTGCCTCAAAATTCCCTGCCATCCAGTGGCAACCAGCTCCAGCATGGCTGGCCGGTCATGTTCTGGTCTGTTGCAAAAAAAGACTTTGACCAAATCCAGATCTCTGTTAGATGCATGATGCTACCTCTTGGCTATAGCCAAGGAATATCCCCTGACTTAATGGGGGTTCAACTTGAGATGATTTGTGTTGAGGACACTTGGCCAGTTATCCAATTACATTTCTTATAGTCACTCAATATCCAAAGGGATTGAGGCAGTGGCCATGCTCCTTTGGTCTCTCCTATTCTGAGCTATAACTAGCCCCATGCTCTTTCTCCCAGACCTTTCCTTTCTCAGGTAGCACCATTACAACACGTCTCTTGGGATCCCTTGGTTATTAGTTCATGACGTGAAAGAGGGAAGCAGGGCAGGGTTAAAGTTGCAAAAAGTGTGAAAAGAAGAAAATTGCATTGCATCAAGAAAGCAAACCTGTGACTATCAAGTCAGGTGACATCCTTCTGCTTTTGTGCAAGTCGTTTTGAAGGCTCCTCGGAAAGAAGAATTTTGAAAAAGCTTTGAGCAATAATGGCATCATTTGACGAAAAAGATGCTCCCAAGACTGACACTTATTTGGGTTAGACATTCTAATGTGTTTGTTTAAAAAGTTCCTTATTTCGTGGTCATAGTTTACACAGTCTTTCAGGCAGTGCTCCTACTTAAAGTGATGCTCTTCTAGCTGAAATGGAAAGTTTCTTTTTCAAAAGTGGATCCATGATCCAACTTTGTGCTAAGTATCTTTAAACTTTCCAGTTTGGAAGACGATTGAGGCTTTTCGCCATTGTGAATCCACAGTGTGGTTAAACGTTATAGGTTTAAAAACTTTGACACAGTTTTACTCTGACTTGTACATTCAAAAGGCAGATCTTCTTGACGGCAGAGTGAAGGTGAGACTGCTAAAGGATAGGGCAGCTCCAGAAAGCAAAAATCACTGTTTTGAAGGCAGCTGTTTTCCTGAGTGTTGCGCCTTAATGTAAACCTAGCAGACTTGCCGTGCACTGGCCAAGCAATAAAACATAAGCCGGGACAGCAGTCTGCTCAGGGAGACTGTCCTGATTACCCAGGACAATTGGTGCAGGAAATTGTCCTGGCCTCTCCCCATCGTCTCCTCTCCGTTCTCCCATTTTCCATCCATTTTGGCGGCCATCCTGGCGGGTTCTCTGTACATGTTCCATATGCCACATTGAGTGCACAGAATTGTGTTTGCCTACGCTTGACCCTTGGTGCACCCCCAGCATGACGGATGCACTCCCTCTAGCCTTCTTGCTCTTGGCTGTTTGAGGAAACATCTCTCCGCGCCTCCCCCAGACAAGGCACAGCCTGTCTGAAGAACAACCAGTAACTGTAAGTCTGTAACTCCTGCGCTGCCCACAGCGCCATATGCAACAGGTGGGTTGTGGCAGGGAATGAATAAAACACGTTCTCTCCAAAAATGTTGAGATCGTAAATTGCTCCTTTTTTAAGAAGCTGTCTCCCCAAAGTAGCCCTTCTGAATGCCAGTCCTGCTGGAGATGTGCCTCTGACCCGGGCTTTTGCAGGAGAAACCTGCACATGCTCCTTTTATGCTTCCTGAGCTCCCAGTGGACATGCATCATCGCAAGTCTATCAGAGGCTCCTGCTCTGGTTCTCTGCACCCACTGGAAGCCTTCCCCGGCTCCAGGGCAGACCAGTCCCTCGCAGTCCCCATCTGGATGGAGTCAACAACTCTTTCCTCTCTTGAAAACCAAACATGACCATAGGGTTTTTCCTTAATTTTGGAAGAAAAGGAAAACACGCAGGGTAAGGACACAATTACGTTGTCAGAGTGATTATTTGGCTTCTGCTAACTCTTGGTCTCATGGGAAGCAGAGAGGAGAAGCCTTGGTAAGAAGTAGTTTTTCCTTTCTGTAAACACAACCTGAAAAAATGTAAACCAGCTGAGTCGGCAGAGTCTTTGCCTGCCCCAAATGGAGGAGTTTATGGTACCAAAGAAAGTTTACTTAGGGACATTTCAGCTGGGGTTTCCTGTGAACGAATGGGCAGGAAAGTGAATGGCTAGGGCCTGGGTGGAAATGGACCTTCCTCATTCACACCGTCCACTAGAAACCACTGCCCCTTCTGGAAAATGGGGGGCTTCGTATGGAAAGTGGGTCTGGGGCCTTGGAAGAACCCTCACACCGGAAAGCTCTTTGATGTGCCCTGGATTGAAATATGATTTCCCCAGCCCTCCGCCTTGGGGTGGACATTAAGACTGGGCTGACATTTCAGAGAAGGTTCTTGGACAGCAAAGTTTTCTTCTCCAAAACTGTGATGCTGATAATCCAAAGTAGACAGCCATGGCGGCTCAGGGAGCCCCACCTGGACAACCTGGAGTTAGCGGAACACTGTTTTTATTTATCACTTTATTAATCAGGGCTCTTCATTAAGGTGTTATATTCTATGGCTATTTCCTCTACAGAATATAGCCTGAGTGACACACAAACTATCCTACTCATGATACACGGCCCAAAGTGTGTCACAAAAGACTAAAGCTCATTAAGGTGTTTGGACTCAAAGACATTTATATCGAACACATGTAATATCCTTATTTTTCTCCACCTAAGTCAGTCAACACATATGCCTTGAGCACCCTGAGGGAGGGCAGTGTCTTTCAGGCTGGCATATGGAAGCCTTCTATATGGTCCGCACCCTCAGGAAACTTCATTAAGCAGACACAGAACTGAGTGAAATGTAATGAACAATTCAAAGCAGGATGTGATAAAGTGCCAAATAAGGAAGGATGGAAAGAACTGGAGAAATGGAAACAAAATGAAAGACACATGAGAGACCAGGCTTCCTGTTTTTACAGGGATATTGAATCTGTCTCCAGAAGGAAGAACTTGGAAGTTACAGGAAGAAGAATTTCAGCTCATCAACAAAAAGAACTAAGTTGGGAAAGCCAAGCTAGCGAGGTTGCCAGAGGTGTACAGAGATTGAATGATCAGCTCTTAGGGATGCTGCAAAAGGATTTTCTACACTGAATAAATTCAATGACCTCTAAGATTGTCTTGGACAAATGAAATATTGGCTGGAGCATAAACTCAACGTGGCTCTCCCAGGGGAGCAGGAGCTGTGCTGGGCCTCAAAGGATGAATGGCCTCTAGATAGGCGGACCCTCCCCTCCCCTGTGTTCCCATAACACCCACCACCCACTACCTGTTCCCAGGGAGAGCAAAGCAGTCTCCGTGACAACTGAGGCCGGGGACACAGAGCTAAGGATCCAAGATGTGTGCATTCATGGCACACAAAGTTTGTGTAATTCGCTGAAAGTAAATTTTACCCTTGAAAAAACTAGATAATGATATGCAGTGTGGAAAGTACTGATGTCTCCAACTTACTTTAACGTGCATTTTAAAAAACAGACGAATTGATGACTGGATAAGAGATAAATAGGTATGTGATAAAACATACACCATAACGCTAATTATAGAATATAGGTGGTAGGCATATGTATGTGTTCACTGTACAATTTTCAACTTTCTGTATGTTTGAAATTTTTTACAATAAAATGTTGGGGAGAAAAATCCATGTAGCTCTGACTGTTGAAGAGAGCAAACAGCTTTGAGCTTTCACAGACTTGGAATACCACAGAATATAATCACGTGGGTTTATTGAGTTCTCTCTGCTCACTAAGCACTTTTTATGTACTATCTCATTTACTCTCACAACCACCTATGGAGTAAGTCCCATCATCCTCACTTTGTAGATGGGACTACTGAGGCACAGAGAGCATGAAATGTTTGCCCAGAGTCACACAGGCGGTTAAGTGTCAGATTCAGGATTTGAACCCACGTCTGACTGGCTCCAGAGCCTGAGGCCATGGCTAATGCATCGCAGTTGGAACCCAGCTGTGGACGCCTGGCCTGGTGCCTGGTGTTGGGTGGGAAGCATTTGCTGTGTGGCGGAAAGTGGGAGGGCTGGCCGCATGCTAGCCCTTCCCGCCTCCACTAACCGGTTTCCGAGGGTTTGGTTCTTTAATTGTTAATAGACAGACACTCAGACCACAAGCTGGGGGTTTTGGTCTGGTTTCATTTCTCTTTTTTTATTTTTTCATTTAAAAAAAGAAGTTTATTTAAACAACAAGATGCTTGACTTGAAGGGAAAACTGTCTAGGGCTCATTCCTTCTAGGGTAATTTATCCCTACTTAAAGACAAATTTTCCTTACTGTAACGGCTACGTACAAAAAAGTGATAAAATTGTCCTTGGTTTCTCAATGATAAATGAAAAACACTAAAATTCTACAATGGAACAAGGTATGTAAAGATTTTTTAGTGTTGTTTTGTTGTTGCTGTTAAACCGTGAGAGTAAAATAACGCCCTGAATGTAAAGACAGGCACTGCGCGAGGAAGCCACCAGTGGAGAGAGGGGGCTTTTGACAAACCAGTCATTTCTCACGTCCCAGCTCCACTTGATGTCAATCAAAGCATACGACTGGCTATTTCATTTTTTTTAAAATGCAGCATATTTGTGCACGTACCCCAGTTACACGATGTACGATAAAGGGATGGGGAAGGAGAAAATGAAAGAACAGAGAAAACTATACTGTAGGCGTCAGGCTGTGGTGGAACCACATGCGGTTTTTCAGTTGAGAATGTGCTTGTGGTGTGTTGGAACAGGGTTCTGGAGTAAGGTAGCAGGCTCCTTTGTAGTGGGCCTCTCCTGTCTGTGGCTGGAGCACATCACCTGTAATTCCATCCTCCATTTCCGCCCATGTAGGTGTGTCTGTTTCATTGATTGGCTGCCCGTTAAATGGGAATCTGATCTGCCACATTGACAAATGCTGTTGTTTACAAACAGGCTTCCATTTGTTTACCAGGGGATAGCCAAATGCCTCTTCATCTTAAACTCACCACAGAACCAGCCTCCCCTGCCACCTTCAGGTTAACCTCAGTGTCTTCTCAGGCTCCACTCCTTCCTTGGCTGTTTCTCAGCCACGGCAAGTGCCAGGGTCTCCTCAGCGGCTACTTCTCCAAAGAGGTACACATCCGCCGTGAATGAGTTTCGTCTCATTTTGCCCCCTATAGTCCCCGTGAAGTTGCTTCCAGCTATTTGCTGAATATATGAAATATGATAACATTCCCAAAATCAGCTCCTTGAGATAGTTTTCAGACACCTGGGCTTTCTCCCATAGTTTGTAAAAAGTGAATAAAAAAATCATCGAAAATCAAGTATTCTAACCCCTCCTTTCCTACTTTAACGACCCTAAATATCTCTTGATTGAGGTTCGGAGCCTTTCACAGCATCCCAGGGATCTTGGCTGTGGGACCTGGAGTTCTTTCTCAGGAGGGCCTGGAATCCAACGCCGCCCAGGTGGGGGCAGCCCATGGGAGCTGCTCATCAAGATGGTCAAGGCGCGGAGGCTCGTGTCAAACAGCTCCACGATGGCCCTGGGCCAGCCCACGCAGGCCATCTGTGTAGTCCTCAGATTTGGCTCGTTCGGGGTTTCTGTTTATTTCCCCTTCCCTCTACCTTTTAAACGGAAGCAGGGAGGCTGCTCCCCAAAACTAGAGGGAAGGAATTAACTCCCAGCCGGATGGCCCCCAACTGCGCCCCAACAGTCTCTGAGCCCACCACTGCCCTGGGATGGAAAGCAGGAGAAAAAACGATTTTAAAAACCAGAGCCAGGGAGCAGGGAAAGAATTCCGCAGGCTGGGCCTCTGGGTCTTCTTCCACTTGGCCCTCAGATAACCCGGAGGTCGGGCTCTCAGGGGGAGCATTTGCTGAGACTCTGAACCTGGGGGTTCTGGCCAGGATCTGTTCTAATTTCGCTGGGGATGTGTTTAGTGTTTAGGCTTTACTAGACCACACGATTCCAGGACAGTGGGGGTGAGGGGGTGTGCACCGGGGGCGGAATGCCAGCCTCCCTCACAGTGGACTGGGAACCTCTGTCAGCACCTCCCCACCCTCTTCCATGGAAGGCCCAGGGCTGGGCCTGGCTCCTGGGGCCTTCAAAGTCAAAGTAACGCAAGGTCAGACGGTAAAGGCTTTGGAAATGTTGGAAGGAATCTTAGAGATCTTCACGTCCAACCCTCTCTCTCTTTTTTTAAATTGCAGTAAAATATACATAACATCATTTTCACCATTTTTAAGTGTACGATTTAGTCCCATCGAGTACATTTGCATTGTTGTACACCCATCACTACTCCCCACTTTCAGAACTTGTTCACCATCCCAAACTGACACTTGGTACCCATTAAACAGCACAGCCCTCTCTTTTTAACAAGGAAGAAATCAGCCGAAGAGGAGAGGGGCTGGCCCAGTGTCGTGCAACTAGGACATGAGTCTACAATCTTGGAATCAAGGGCTCTGTCCCTTATGCCAGCTGATTTCTTAAAATATGATTTAAAAAATATATATATATGTTCACCAAGAACTCAATTGCTTGTTTGGGGAGCCACACTTTTGGAAGGATGTCGGCAAACAGCAGACAGGATGGTGAGGGACCTGGGACCTGTGTCCCTTATAGACAGAAGGAATTAGTGACGGAGGATTCAGGACAGTTAAGGTGTTGTCTTTGAAGGTTTTAAAGTGTAGTGTGGAAAAGAGAGTCAACTCACCTGGCTTCCAAGGGCAGGACCAGCATGGAGGATGCACGTGGCAGCATGGTTATTTCTACTGGGAACGTTGAAGAACTCTTTAATATCTCAGTCAGTTAAAGCAGCAGGCAGTGAGCTCCTGACAGCCGGGGACGTGGAGCAGAGCCTGGGCCACCTGTTCTGGGGTGATGTGGAAGAGATTTATGCAGCTGAGAAGGTGTCCCTTCTAACTCCAAGACACCTCCTGAGGGACTGGGGCCCGGGACCTGCCTCCCCAACCTAGCACAGCTCACGCACTCCTGGGCTGGGGTCCTGAAACCGAGGGCTTTCGAAGCATTTGATGGGTTGGAGCCCCAGTCTAAGGGGATGATGTGCTCGGGGCAGTGCTTAGAACAGTTGGACAATGTGCTCCCCAAACTGTAGGTCACGACCTGTCGTGAAAACAAGGTAGTCATTTATGTCTCGCAATTTTTCAAAAATGAAATAAAATTGAATAGGATGTATCAGAGTGCAACACACAGGGTAAGGGTAAATATTACATGTTTCTCACGAAATATTTTTGCTTATATTGTGTGTGTGTATGTGTGTGTGTTAGTGTGTGTACAGGTCAATGTTAAATTTATATTTTACTGTGGGTTTAATTTTTTAATTTAAAAGTTTAAAAGCCACTATTTAAGACAAAGTTTGAAAAAAAAATGTCTGGAGTCTTAGAAATGTGTGACAAGTTGTTAGAGAGGTCACATACCAGAGTAGGGAGATTCACGTGCCAGAACAGAGAGATGTCTCCACCGGCTCTGGCAGCTCTGACTGCCTGCTTTCTTGGCCCAGTACACGTGGAGCTCCTGTGGCCAGCAGTTGGACTCATGGGGTAACCAAGTGCAGCGACTTGGCTGGGAGCAGCCAAAACCTCTGCACACGTGAAGGGCAGGCAGAACGGTGTACCTGACTTTTTGTTAAAGTCTTCTCTTCACACTGAGGGACTGTGGTGAAAATGAATTTTGATCCTCAGAGTAACCCTGGAGACAGAAAACTAAGGGTATATGTAAACTTTTCTCTCCCACTCCTCACACAGAGCACAGATATCCACACCTCCGTGCAATTATTTCCTCCCTCATCCCTTAAATCAGGGGCTTTGGTCTCCCTGGGACAGGACGCTGTGCACATACACTGGTCAGACTCCCCTGGGGCCTGTAATTAAAAGGGAGCTGCTAAGAAGTTCTAGAGAGGGTTCTGAAGGAACAGGCAAGTCACGGAGTGCAACTTTTTGGACCACACTATGCGAGAGGATGTCTATAGTAAGACCAAGAGACAATTATATATATAATACATACATTTATATAGACACACACGCACATGCAGTGTTTTCAAAAGGAATGGATGCTGCCGCAATTTCTATGGCGAAACCTTTCTACAATGCAGGGTACGTATAATGGATCTGTTTTCGTCTGTCCAACTTCCCTTTCCTATTCTGACATCAGCATCCACCTTCCTCCACTTCCTATAGATAACTGTTCCTGTCCTGCCACCCATGCCGTGTGGTTCTAGGGGACTACCAATAAGTGTCTGGCCCCATCCCCTGGCTTCAATGATTGGTCCATGGAGAAGGCAACAGATCCAAGCTGGGCCAGTCAGGGTCTTTGCCTAGGACTTGTAAATAGTAAACCAGTTGGCCAGAGCTCAGTTTTTCCTACGTGGTTGCTAAGCTTGGAAGCTGTAAGTTGCAGCTGACTCTGGCCCCATTTTCCTCTCCATGGAGGAAGATTAGTGGCAGAGTGAGAGAACTAGAAATCTGATGACAGCCATGCTACTTTGGCTAGTTCTACTTTGTCCCCAGCCTAGTTGTGCGGATAGGGGTGTATGGGGTGGGGGTGGGGTTGGTTTGTTTGTTGTTTAAGCTAGTAAGAGTTGGTCGTTGTAACTTACACCTGAGAGAGTTGCTTCAGCATACTGGAACGCACTGGGTACAGGATGTAAAGGGAAGATCTGTGTTCAGAGCCTAGAGCCAGTTTTTATTAACTGTGTTCAAGATATCTAACTTGTGCAAACCTCGGTCTCCTCATCTGTTCAAGGTATTCGTGAGGCTTAAATGAGTTAATTGTGTGACAGAGCTTTGTATAATGACAACATGTTGTCTAAATGTTAAAGATAATTACCAACCGAATCCCGTTTCTCCTAAGAAGACAAAGGGAGTCCCCCTCATGCACCCTTGCCGTCACTCCTCCACCCTAGGGACCCACTCCTCCGACCTCTAGCATCACTAATTGGCAGGAAACCTAGATTTGGATCCCAAACCTGCTAATTACTAAAGGTATGACTTTAGACAAATTACCTGACTTCTCTGAGCTGCATTTTTATCATTAGTAAAATGGGGTTAGTAAAAAAAAAAACTTACCTTGGAGCGTTGTGGCCAAGTTTGCTAGGGCAACGTAAGCTTTCTAATAAAGATCTCTAAAATGTGGTGAGCTGAGGAACAAGCTGTTTCTTTCTCTGTCGTGAAGCCATCCAGACAAGGGCTCTGGGTTGATGCGTGGCTTAGGCACCAAGTCTGATAGCAACTCATGGATTTTAAGACCATTACATGTTTTCACCAACAAGACCAAAAGGGAATAGGAAAAGATCATGGAGGCAGTGGGCTCCAGCTTGAGTGTGGCACCCTCTTGCTCAAGTTCCATTGGTGAAGGTGTAGACACATAACCTCAAGTGGCTCAAGGGAGGCTGAGAAACGTAGTCCCAGGCTGGACAGCATGTTCTGGCTACAACTCTTGCCGGGGATGAGGGGAAGAAGAAATTTCGGTGGAGAGTCACTGCACAAGGAGTAGATGAGATAATGCATATAAAGTGCTTAGAATATTCCCTGACACAAGGCAGTGCTCAAATATTAGCTGTTTCAGTATCATTAATTCTCTCATGCAAAAGGAATTAGGAAAGAAAGCTTTTCATCAAAGCAGGCCACAGAATGACTCTTTCTAGGAAAAATGTACTGATCTCATGGTCATATTCTGCCAGGTTCCCTTGGCAGCTCTGAGCACATCTCTCAGCCCCTTTTCTCTAAGGGCCTCCATTCCTCTGCCCCAAAGAGCTTCTAAAATACTCCCTAGTGACAATCGTGAAAGACAAGCCATGGAGAAAGTCCAGCATCGTCTGCTGGAATGCCCCACTTACTTATGGGATGAGCTCAGAACAGAAGACAATTAAAAGATGACAAATGGGTGTTAGACTTGCTACATTTCCCAGCCTAGTTTTGGCCACACTGTAAATTCATGCAGACCAGTGTGGAGACCCTGGGAGTCTTTTACTTGTTAACTCTGGCACTGACCACCTCTCGCTCTGCTGGCAGACTCACGGGGGAAGGAGTGTGGTGGGCACCTGGGTGTAAGAGGATAGCTAAGATTGATTGATGGTGCGCCTTCCAATGCCATAAATAATGCAGGCCTAAATCCCATTAGCCGTGGAAATTTGCAGTAGAAAACTAATGAAGTCTTTAATTACAAAGTCCTAGCTGTTTAGTCTTCGAAGGAGGCAGCGTTCCTAATAAAGACTCTGGCAGAGGCTATAAGCAGGGCTTATATTGTGTTGTGTTGCCGGCTGGGTGTGAGCATGACAGACCACCCAACAAGGCTGGGATGGCAGGGAGGCGGGAGTGCGGCTTGTTCATGACCTCAGCAGAGGGCCTGACATGGAAACACAGTTCCCCACTGCTGTCTTCCCTGCCCCTTGCTCCATCCTCTGGACTGCCCTGACCCGCGGGAGGAATTGGGTCCCCTTGCCTAGGACAGCCCACCCGCACTAAGCAACTCCACAAATGTTACCCGGCTCCTGGCAACTTGTTTTGAGTATCTCCATGAGTAACTAATTTGCAGGTTCCCCTATCAGCTGTGAATAGGACCTCATTTCTTCCAGCCTGCTTGTTAGTTTCCAGCTGTGACCAAGCGCAAGCATTGCTTGGAAGAGAAAGAGTAGAAATGATTCTCTCCCCTACACGGACTATAAAGAAAAACGGGGGAACCAAGAAGCACTTCGGCAGTAAAGGGCTCTTAAGACAGTGTGTGTAGGGGGGCTGGCCCCGTGGCCGACTGGTTAAGTTCGCGCGCTCCACTGCAGGCGGCCCAGTGTTTCGTTGGTTCGAATTCTGGGCACGGACATGGCACTGCTCGTCAGACCACGCTGAGGCAGCGTCCCACATGCCACAACTAGAAGAACCCACAACAAAGAATACACAACTATGTACCCGGGGGCTTTGGGGAGAAAAAGGAAAAAAATAAAATCTTTAAAAAAAAAAAAAAAAGAAAGTGTGTGCAGGGTGGAGATGTCTGGGTGGGGGCGAGGTGGGGCGACCGGGGATGGACTGCCCAAGGCCGTGTCCACAAGGACAGCGTGAAGCGGAGGCAATTCTCCTGATCCTTTGGGCTAAAATTCTTTTACTGAAAGGTCTGGAAATTTGAAGCTAGTTTGCTTTTATTTATTTATTTCTAACCTGCCTTTCCCAAAGAATTATCTCAGCTTTCTGCTTGACTTCACTTGTCCCACCAACCTTCAGGGAACTCGGTTAATTGCCTTGCTTCGGACAAGGTTCAAATCCCCCGTCCAAGAGGCTGCTTCTGGAGGTAGCCCCAGTGTTCTGGTCAGCCCGGTGTCACCTTCCCGATAACTGAGGGGAATTGGTGCCACACTAGGGGAGGTGACCAAGAGAATGCCGAGTCATCTGCAAACTAAGAGCCAGATGGGCCCCACCATGGATTTCCAAGGGAAGTACCAAAAGACAGAGGAAGCCGGTATTAGAAGCTTTCGAAGCCCCTTCAGGTGGTATCCATGGGAACTGGAGGAAACAAAGGTAACAGGCAGCCTTCTTGCAGGCTGTGGAGACGGCGCAGGGTGAGTCAGAGCTAATCAAAGTGCTCTGTAATGATGCTTGCAAGCTGAGCAGCATTTTCACTTTGGCCTGGAGCCCCAGGATCCATTCAGCTGGTGATTAACTGCAGGAAAGATCCTGGGAAATAGATCAGGAACAGAAAGTAGTTTATATCAGCGTGATCATTAAAATTTGATCAAAAGCAGGGCTCGGCCGGTTACCTTTGGAGGGCTTGCTGAGAGCGAGTTCTGAGACGCAGTCGCCAGCCTTCCCCATCGTGAACTCTCCCTGAATTCCCAAGAAATATTTTGAGGCAACCCTGCATAACGGGTCAGAAAGCAGTGGAGCAAAGCACATGAGTGGACTGGGACCTTTTTAGGTGGTCGTGTGGAAAGCGAAACAACAGAAAGGGTTTCAGCCTCAAGATAATTGGTAAAAATCAGAAGTCTTAGCAACGAGTATGAGTGACTTCTTTCTTTGCTTTAGAAAGAAATTATATACGAGCAAACTTAAATTTCCATGCCTGTTAGGTCTGTCGTAAGGCCTAAGCTTGGATTTATAACATTTTCCCATAGTTGCAGTGCCACAGATCCTTATGTTTCAGGTGTCACCTTAGATGACAGTTTCCGTAAAAGCAGCCCGTCCTCCACCCAGCCTGCACGGAGCACGACCTCTCCTGGGCGCAGGTAGCACCTGAATCCACCTCGTTTCACCTTATTACGCTGTCGTGACTGCCTTTTGGTATCTGCATCCCCTCACAGACTCTCAGTTCATTCTGAGAAAAGTCTAGCTTTAGCTCAGTGCAGGGTACTCAGTAAGTGTTCCAGAAATACCTGTCGGACGAATGAAAAAAATGAATGGTGGTGAAGTTTCCAGCTCTTCTGTAGGAATCTTTATATTTCAATAGGAGAAAAATAAAACCCCAGCTCTTTTTTTATAGATAATATTTGTTGTTGTCTTCTTCCATGCTGATACAAGAGTATACCCCATACCTAACCATTCCTGAAAGTGCTAGAGATTTCCTGCTTCAGTTGAAAATGCACTTTGGCTTCTAACCAGGAAGCTGGGACAACAAACTGTTCATCCTGCTTCACTGCCCGTAATGAAGACACTTGCTTTCTGCCTCCCCACCTGCTCTGGCTGTGAGAGAAGCTCCCCTCCCTTTCTTTTCTTTATACACCACCCCCTGCACTTAGTGGATAAAGAGGCTGCCTCCTAGGGGGTCACAGCAGAAGAACGCCACCTGCTCTCATTCATAAGCACATGCTTGTATCCTGGGGAACATTCCTTAAGCAATAGATTTGTATCCTGGGAACGGCCTCTTTCTCCTTCCTCTCTTTCTTTCCCTTTTTTTTTTTTTTTTGGTATTGAAAAGGAAAATTAAAAAGTTTGAACTTTTGTTTTTCCCCTGTAATAAAATCATTAAGCATGCTCAACTCTCAGTCTATTCTCGCTCTGTGCTCTCACAGTTAGCCAAAAAGAAACAGCTATTCCCATCTGCTGTGAAAGCATCTACTTTATTTTTTTTTAGCACTATTTCCCTTGTGCATCCTCAGCTTTGCTCTGGCCATCTTGGAATCTGCAAACGCGTCTCTTTCCATCTTGAGTTGCCATCAGCTCCAGGGAAGCTTCGGCCCTGGCAGTCTGGATTCTGGAGGTTGTTAGCTGCTTAACTGTTAGCTGATGTCATTGACAGCTGGGTGAGGAGGTTCAGAGATGGCAAAGGCATAAGAAAGTAAATAGGATAGATAGGAGGGGAAGACTGGTCTGCCTTGAAGGCAACATCTAGTCCATATATATTTTCTGAAAAATACTTACATAACCAAAATAATATAAATAGTGAATATTAATTTAACCAATATGTGCTATAACCATTTGAGAGGGTGGGGAGTGGGGAGAAGGGAAATATTTGGGGGGGGGGGGGCATGAGGAGGTTTCAAAGAGTTAAATCCAGCTTTTCTATGGTCAAAAGTTGATATATGATGTCCAACATTTTAACATCAAGAAATTTCTCCCTATTTTAATATATAACATTTTCATTCATTTCATGCCACCCAAAATATTTTCTAATTTGCATTGTGTTTTCTTTTTTGACACAGGGATTACTTAGAGGCGTATTTCTTAATTTCCCTATAAATGAGGGTTTCCTGGTATCTCTTTGTTACTGATTTCTTTTCGGCTGCAGTGTGGTCAGAGAGCCTACGCTGTATGACTTCAGTCCTCGGGAATGTGTTGAGACTTGCTTTATGACACAGTATATGGTCAGTTTTTCCATATATGCTTTAAAAGAGTATGTACCCTGCCGTTGAACACTCCATGTTATGAATCAGGTGATTTCTTAATCATGTTGCTCCAGTCCTCCAAGTTCTTCTGATCTTTGTTTGCTCGTTCTATCAGTTACAAAGTATGTTTAAAAAACTTCCACTCTGGGGCTGGTCCGGTGGTGTAGTGGTTAAGTTTGTGCACTCTACTTCAGCAGACCAGGGTTCCCGGGTTCGGATCCCAGGGGCAGACCTACACGCTGCTCATCAAGCCATGCTGTGGCGGCATCCCACTTACAAAATGGAGGAAGATGGTCACAGATGTTAGCTCAGGGCCAATCTTCCTCACTAAAAGAAAGAAAGAAAGAAAAACCAACAAAAAAACCCCCAAAACTTCTACTCGAATATTTTTGTCTATTTTCCTATTTAGTTCTGTTCTTTTTCTGCTTTATATTATTTTGAAGCCATATTTTTTAGGTGGATACAAATTTTAAATTTTCATATCTTCCTGATAAAATGTATATTTTTACCATTATTGTGTTCCTCTTTACAGATACAGGTTACTGTATCTGATATTAATATAGCTATACTCACTTTCCTTTCATTGCTATTTATATTGTTATTTCTTTATCTCTCTTGTTACTTTTAACATTACTGTATTCATATAGATACAGATAATTCTCATAAACATAGTCTTTTATATCAGTTTGAAGATCTTTGACTGTCTCAATGCATTATGTATAATTACTGCTATAATCAGGTTTATAATCTTATTTAATTATGTAACTTATTGTTACTCTGTTTTGGTCTACATTCTTTTTTTCTCACCTTTGTTTTTATTTTGAATTTTTAAAATTATTACTATTTTATTTCTTTCTTGTAGCTTGGAAGCTATAGCCTCTTTTGCATATAGACAACAACTGCATTCTTCACAAGTCTAATTTGATTGTTGTTGTTATCTTCTTCCTGAACTAAGTAAGGGTCTTAGAGTACTTTAATTCCATTTACTCCCCCCTCCCTTATATGCCATTGTACTTGTGTATTCTAATTCCTGTTATTGTTTGATGTCAATATCGAGTTAAATTAACCTTTTTTTATTTTTTCGGATTCCTTCCTGCATCTTCAAGCTTTCATCTGGACTCATTTCCCTTCTGCCTGAATAGTATCCTTTGGTTCAGATCTGCTAGTAACAAACTCTACCAGCTTTTGTTTACCTAAAGATGTATTTCCCACTCATTCTGATGCATTTACAGTCACGTTGTCTTGTGTTTTACAGTGCTTCTGTTGAAGTAGGCTGTCTGTCTGTTGCTTCGTTGAATGTTGTTTGTGTTATAATCAGGATATGTTTCAGATTTTTCTCTCTTTGTCTTTAGTTTTAGAAGTTTGTTTTTTTTTTTTTTTTAAAGATTTTATTTTTTCCTTTTTCTCCCCAAAGCCCCCCGGTACATAGTTGTGTATTCTTCGTTGTGGGTTCTTCTAGTTGTGGCATGTGGGACGCTGCCTCAGCGTGGTCTGATGAGCAGTGCCATGTCCGCGCCCAGGATTCGAACTGACGAAACACTGGGCTGCCTGCAACGGAGCACGCGAACTTAACCACTCGGCCACGGGGCCAGCCCCCTAGTTTTAGAAGTTTTACTATAATGTGACTAGATGTGGTTTTCTCCTTATTAAAAATCTGTTTGGGATTGGAAAGATTTGTTGAATATATGGCTTAATATCTTTTCATCAGCTTTGGAATATTCTCACCATTATTTCTTCAGATATTACTTTTTCCTCATTCTCTCTCTCTCTCAAGTAGGTGATATCTTCTTATCGTATTCTCTTTTACTTATCCTTGCCTATATATTGTCCATTAATTTATCTCTTCATGATTCATTCCGAATTATTTCCTCTGGACTTTCTGCCATTTTGCCAGTTCTCCCTTCATCTGTGTTAAACTCATCCATTGAGTACTTAATTTCAGTTGTTATGTTTTTCAGTTCTAAAATTTCCATTTGTGGGGCCAGCCCCGTGCCTGAGTGGTTAAGTTTGTGCACTCTGCTTTGGTGGCCCAGGGTTTCACCGGTTCAAATCCTGGGCACAGACATGGCACCGCTCATCAAGCCATGCTGAGGTGGCATCCCACATGCCACAATTAGAAGGATCCACAACTAAAAATACACAACTATGTACCAGGGGGCTTTGGGAAGAAAAAGAAAAAATAAAATCTTTAAAATTTCCACTTGTTTCTTTCTTATAATTTCCAGTTCTTGTCAAAATTTCCAGTCTTTTCATTTATCTTCTTGAACATAGGAAACAGTTAATATAAGACTTTACTGATAATTCTTATAGCTGAAGCTCCCATGGGTCTGTTTCTGTGGATGGTTGTTTCTGGTTTTGTTTCTTTGTTTGTTTTTCATGTTGCCTTATCTCATCATGTACTTGGTTATTTTTTATCACGTGCCCAATGTTGTATTTGCAACATTGTGTGTAGAATTAATTTTAGATCTAAGGTGACATTTTCCTCCAGAGAGAAACACCACCAATCTGGATTACTTCAATCCAAGTTCAGAGATGAGATCATTTGAGGTTGAGCTTTAATCTTTACAAGGATTTTCTAACTCTAGTTCACGCTTATTCCTAGGGTGATCCCTTTGGGGTCTCAACTAACTGTTCACTAGAGGTACTCTTGGTGGGCACTAGCTTGGGCCCCCTAGCCCAATATGGCTGTCCAAAGTACCCTTCAGCCTTTCAGCCTCTCAGCTACTTCCTTCAGAGTTGGCAAAAATCCCCATGAACAAAACATCTCCACGTGCTGGGCCACCTCCCTGGACCTCTATCATCCAGCCTGGGAATTCTTTACTATCATAATAAGCTCTTGTCTGCCTTCAGTAGGCTTTATTTATTTATTTTGGTGAGGAAGATGGGCCCTGAGCTAATATCTGTTGCCAATTTTCTTCTTTTTGCTTGAGGAAGATTGTCCCTGAGCTAACATTTGTGCTCATCTTCCTCTATTTTGTATAAGGGACGCCACGACAGCATGGTTTGATGAGCAGTGTGTAGGTCCATGCCCAGGATCCGAACCTGCAAACCCCAGGCTGCTGAAGCAGAGCACATGAACTTAACCACTACGCCACTGGGCCAGCCCTTCGCATTTTTTTTTTTCCTATTCTCTATTTCTAAAATTTCTCCTCTACCTTCCCATAGAGTTTGTAACTCCTTTCACTTTGATTGCTGTCTCCTACCAGAATCCCAGGGTTCTCACTTTAAAGGAAGCAGCATCATGGTCATAAGACAGCAGTAAAAGTGGAATTAAAAAAACAAATAAATAGGGGCTGGCCCCGTGACCCAGTGGTTAAGTTCGCGTGCTCCGTTGCAGGCTGCCCAGTGTTTCGTTGGTTCTAATCCTGGGCGCGGACATGGCACTGCTCATCAAACCATGCTGAGGCAGCGTCCCACATGCCACAACTAGAAGGACCCACAATGAAGAATATACAACTATGTACTGGGGGGACTTTGGGGAGAAAAAGGAAAAAAATAAAATCTTTAAAAAAAAATAAATAAATAAATAAATAAATAAAACAGGCAACACTATCTGAGTTTAAGATGGCCAGAGGCCAATGAAATTGTTCTGAGATTAACATGTGCTGGAGCCTCTGAAATCTCTTGGGATTGAATAATGCCTGAAGCATCTTGTCAAAGCAGATTGAAGAGTGTTTTTTCCTTGACGTATTTTCCAATTAAGTAACTCTGTATAGTATGCTTCCTCATAACTGCACCATTAAAATTGGATTAGAGCACATGGGATTTGCTTTAAAAAAAAAAAAAAAAAGCAAGCAGTTTATATACAGATTGGAGGACTTAGCCCTGAGAGGTTTGCCCAGCACGAGCTTGATGCTCCCATCCTGAGGCATGCAGAGCAGAGGACACTTTCAAGTAGATGGCGGTTTCCTTCCATCACAGTGGGTACCTCTAGTGAGGTGAGCGAGTGATGGACTGACTGTAGCTTCCTGGATGAACTCTTGTTGGAATTACAGATAGAGATAGCCATCTGTGGTAGAAATGCTAGCTGGCCATAGACCCAGATCAAGCATTCCCAGTTGAAGTTGCTTATTCATTTTATTTGTAAAAAGCACATATTGAGTACCTCCTATGTACCGGCACTGGAAATAGAGCAATAAAAACTCAGACTTGGTCCTTGCCTCATGGGACTTCTGTTCTAATGGAGAAAACATAATAAAAGTTTATAACAGATAACCAAGAGAATTGCAGATGGGCTGTGTTATCAAGGAAATAAGCAGGATGACGTGAGAGTAACCAGGGAGGCTGCTTTAGATAAGGCAGTAAGGGAGAAACTAAGGAAGTCAACCTTGGTCTGAGGCCTGAGAATAAGCCAGCCACATAAAGATCTGGGGGAAAGAAGTCCAGGCAGAGGGAACAACCAATGGGAAATGATTTGCTATAGTCTAGGACCAGAAAGGAGGCCACTCTAGAATAAAAAGAGAACAGGAAAAAATGAGAGGTTGGAAAGGTGGGCAGGAATCAAGTTTTTAGGGACCTAGAGACCTTGGCAGAGGTTGCATGGGAATCTAATTGTAAACGAATATTTCCTCAATGTGCATGACTGGAGTGTCACAATTATCCTCCCTATTAGGTCAAGGGACATTTGTCAGGATTGACCTCTCATAAACTGCATGGAGGTCTATAACCTGTAGAAATGCACCAAATCACTAACCCCAAAGGCAGGACGCTTGGAGTATGGGCCTCAGTGGTGCTCATCCTAAAGGGGTCATTAATGACACCTGCCCAGTTCCACAGGGCTCTTATCCATTCTGGATGAAATAATGGGTCAAGCACTTGTCAACAAGGAGAATTGCACGAGTCCAATCCGTCATTCTTTTGACTTCTGGCACAGTCTATCTCCTGTAATGATCTTTCAAAGGCATTTCAGAGGAGTAACCCGCCATCTGGGCCTTACATGTGGGTAAAGCAAGTCAACCTGCATGGTTGTAGGAAGGGTTAGATGGGGCTTCGTGTGTGAACATGCCACACAGAATGCCTGTCCCACAGGCTGTGGCCTGGGCGGGGTCTCCTCCTCCCAGTGAGCTTGGTTCAGCACCTTCTGTTCTGATCATTTACTGTGTCATCTCTGGTCCCCCCTCCAAAACTTGCCTGTCTTGTGAGCCATGTTCTCACGACTCTTCCCTGTAAGGTAGAGAAGGATGCATTTATGGTATTCCCTCCAAGTTATACCACCCAGGTAAAAGGCATTAGTTTCTAGAAGACCTGAGCAATAACTCTAATTTGGGCAATACTAGGCATCATAGAGGTAACTTAATATATATATATGTACATATGTGTATATTTATATAAAATTCTGGACTTTTCTGGACTTGCAAATTCTGTGCATAGCTGTCGATTCTGCCCATCGGTAGTGTTGGCTTTCACCAGAATGTTAGTGAAAAACAACAATACATTCATTGTCTGGACATTTCCCCCCTCATTTGGTTATTATCACCCAATTCCAGGCCAGATTGCCTTGATTTCTCTGCTGCTCTAACACTCCCCATGCCTAATCCAATGTTTTGAGTGGTTTTCTCCCTCCTTCCTCCCTCACCAGGAGCCCAATAGCTAAGGTGACCTTCTATCCCAGGATGGTCCTGGTGTCTACCTGTGTTTTTAGCGTAATTATTAATATATTTACCCCCTTTCAAAGGTGTGCTAATTTGGACAATAAATTGTATGGTAACCCTACCTGTAGCTGAGAGAATTTGAGCAGCTCTAGGGTGAGAAAAGGGAAAAAGCAGCGCCGTCACAGCAAAGTGAAGAAGGCACCGACTTTGTCTCTCCTGCAGCCCTGTTCGCCCACTCCCTGAGCCCAGCCAAGCACTTGCTGGTGTCGCAGGCAGTGGGGATGAGGCTGGTTCCTGGCAGATGTGCCTGATGAGCAAACTGAAAGCAAGAGATTCACAGAAATTAGAGGTGAAAAAGATGGGAAAGACAATGAAGGACGGTCTTAAGAAGACATCAAAAGGTTGCACACATCCCTTGAGGATGTGGGAAGAGGGTACTTCGTTGCTTAGGTTGTATCTCCATTCCCGAGGGGCTGGTGGAACGCACAACACTGGGATGGGGCTGATTTCCTTTGCCCCTTACGACTCAGGGGTTCCTGCAAGGACCACAGAAAACTCACCCCTACCAGGCAGGCTGCCTGGATTAGATCTGGCTGCCTGGACCAGGAGGCAGGAGACCAGGATCTGGTCTTATTTGTCACTTGACCTTGAGGAAGTTACTTCACTTTGATGGACAAGTTTTTCATCTGCAAAGTAAAGAGAGCTGGATCAGATGGTCCCTAAGGCAATGGTTCGAATTATTTGTCTGTGTTTTGCTTAAAGAATTCGAAGAACTTTCTCCCTTATGCAGTTTTACGTTATTTAAAATGTTTCTTCAACAAAAGATGTAATTTCCATCATAATAAATATGGACACTTTTGAAGCCTTGTTATATTATTCTTTAAAATGTATCCAAATATCACAGCCATTTTATACCTGCCATCGTCGTTTAAAAAATATATCAAAAAAATAGTGTTTAACACAAGGAAATTTTACATTGTTCCCTTTTCAATTTCAGCTCATTTCATTCTGCTTCCCCCAAAGAATTTTACTCTTGATGTAATCTATCTGTATGCTTGAAAGTCTTTTTTTAAAAATCATTCTATCATACTTCAAGGCAATAAAAGTATGGGAACAAATTTAAATTTTAGAAGATTTCCTGTGACTGTTATTCTCTAAGGGTAAAAAAAAACAACTTTTGACGGTGTTATCACTCTAATGGTTTGACCACCTATAATCATTAAACATAAAAGTGAAATTTTATTGGAAATGTATCTCTTAGTAAGATGAAAAGAGCTGCTTTAGTTTTTAAGCAAGTTCAGTTTTTAGGGCTGAGTATAATTTATAGCATCAATTTTATTCTTTTTTGTTTTTAAAAATAGTGCTGAGGAACGTTCTTTATATAAATAAGCAGATGGCCATGGAAGGAGTTTTCTTATAGCAACATCACTCATTTCTTTGAAGTTCTGAGTTATATGTAAAAAACTGCCCTGTGATCCATTATCAAACGTAATTTTTAATGTTCTATCAGCTGACAACTCAATAGGTCCTCTTTCAATTATTTTGAAAGCAAAATCTTGGAAACTACCTTTTGCAAGAATTAGATCTGCAAAAGGATTTATTTCTCAACCTTTAAAGTTGTTCACTTTCTCAAAACCAGTGCCAATATCTTGAATTGTTCCTTTGTTTGGCCTCCAAGGGGTCTTTCCATTCTGAGGCAACACCCAGAGTGAAAAGCAGGACAGGCGAGAGGTCTGCCTGTCTTTTGTCAAGTGAGAGAAAGAAACCTGGGAGAGAAGCAGGGAGAACCAGCCCAGCAAGGTACTTTCCCAGACAGCTGAACTGTAAGCAAGAGCACTGGTATTCATTCTCTGTCTAGAAACTGGTTCCCTTACCCTCCAGGATGTACACCCTGGAAGAAACTCTGCTTGACCCTCAGAATTGCCTTGGTTTGAAGACCCAGCTCTAAGATCTAAAAGTCCAGACAGTGTTAAGTTAAAGCAAAAACAGCTGATAGAAATTTCTTTTTTTTTAAGTTAATTTTTATTTTTTTATTCCTGATTAGGTAATATATTCACTTGGTATAAAATTAAGAAGTCTTGAAGTGTAAAGCCCCACCGTCGCCCTCTTGTCTGTCAGCCATTAGTTCTCTTCTCCAGGCAATGGACGTGAAGGTTCCTCGCGTACATTGCAAAGATAATCTATGCATATTCACGCAGTTAGGAACAAGGACAGGCTTCTCCTCCTCCTACATAGCTGCCACTGCACTGTCCACGCTGCCTTGCACGTCCTTTTCTATTATTGTTTTGCTTGGAAATTATGTTGGAGATTTTTTTTCATGGCATCGTGTGAAGAATACCCTCATTCTTTGTTGGACTGAACAATATTCCATTGAATGTTATAATTTATAATATATAATTTATAATATGAATTGCCTTTTAGGTTATTTCTGATTGTTTCTATTTAAACAATACCGTGATAAATATATATACATATATCACTTTGCATAGGTGTGGGTATATTTGTTAGGAAACTTCTAAAAGTGGACTATCTGGGCAAAGGGCCTGTGTAGGTATTATTTCAGTTAGGCATTAGTAAACTGCGCACTCCAAGGAGGATGCACCAATTTAATCTACCACCAGCTAGGTAGGAGAGTGCCTATATTAGTTAGCTATAAAATCTGTAACTATTGCTGCATGACAAATCACCCCAAAACTTAGTGGCTTCAAATAACAATATTCATTTCTTATCTTTCATCGTTTCTGCGAGTCCGATGAGGAGTGCTGTGGCTGGGTTGCTCTGGTTTGGGATCTCTCAGGAGGCTGCATTCACATGGCGGCTGGGGCTGGGCTCCTTTTGAAGACTCCCTCCCTCACGTGTCTGGTGCAGGACTGGGAAGAGCCGGATCGCCAGGCGATGGAATCTCTGGGACCACTCAGGTGTCTCTTTCTGTCTTTCTCTCCACATAGTTTCTCCAGCCTGGTGGCATCAAGGTAGCCAGACTTTGTTGGAAGCGAGACGCAAGAGAGGGGCCCAGGGCACACAGTTTAAGGAGGCATTCTTTTTCAAGGCTGACCCTGCACTTGCTTGACCCCCGAGAAAGAGTGCTTTCTCACGTTTTGTGTCCTGGCACCACTCTTGCCTCACCTTTGTCCCGGCCCTGCTTATCTGTCACATAGCATCCCTTCCACACACTCGGTTCTGCAGAGGAGTTACAAGCCACCCAGAAGCAAGGGGAGGGAACTCAGAGAAGGCAATGCCATCCAGATGGGAATAGCGTCAGTCACATTGTGCAAAGACCGCACTGGATATATGCTCCAGCTTTGTACCTCTCCCCGCTGATGAGTGGAACACAGCTGTTTGTTTCATAAAATAAACTTGTTTCTGAACATAATTGAGTTGTACCTTTAAATTTGCATTTCGCTTATTATGAGTGAGGCAAATATCTTTTGAGTGTTTGCTTCGTCTTTGGCTAACTGTCTTTACAGCCTTTGCCCATTTTTCTATTGATTAAACCGACATATGTGTGTGAGGGGAAAGAAAGCATTAGTCTTTTGCCTGTGCTGTGAGTTATAAACATTTTTTCCAGTTTACTGTTTACCTTTTGACTTTACTTGTGGTGGCTTTGCCTTAAAATTTTTTTTTTAATTTTGTGTATTAAATTTCTCTTTTCTTTTGGCCTTTTGGATTTTTTGTCATACTTGGAAAGGCCTTTGTCCCCCTGAAACTGTAGAAGTTTTTCCACGTTTTCTTCCACTGTGTGTGTGTGTTTGGTTTGGTATTTTACATTTTTACCTTCAACGCATTTAGTATTTTTACTATAAGAGGTGACATATGGATTCAGATGTCCTTTTCTCCCATGGCTATCCAAGGACTTGAAATGTTGCCTGCATCACAGTCATGAGGTCTACACATCTCCTTCTTCTGTCCCACTTGCTCACATGGGTCTTTATGTGATAGCTCCACACTGTTTTAAGTATATCAGCCACACAACATATTTTACGATCTGCTAGGTCTACTTCCCCTTATTTATCATTTTCATAATTTTCTGGGCTATTCTTTCTAGTTTATTTTTCCATGGAAACAATTTCTTAAGTTAACTGCATGGTGGTGTTACTGGTCATGAAACGTGATTAGGATGAGTGAGCCTCAGTGGGGTGTTTGGGATTTTTCTGCACATAAAAGAAGGAAATGGGAGGTAACCTGACATCCTAGAAAGAAAGCTGGCCCTTGGAGGGACAAATTTCAATCTCAGATCTGCAGAATATTCTGTGGCCTTGATCCAAGCCATGATGACACTTGAATAGAAATGACCCAGAGTGGTGAAGATTAATGAGGGAAAAAACAACCCCTAACTTGTTATAAGATCATTTTCCTCTTTTAACAATTTTAGTATGCCTAATCTCTCACGGTAATTGAGTCTTTCCTTAATGAGCAGGAATCACGCATAGTTCCTGGTTGCTCATCTGTGGTACTGTTTGGGTACAATTTGCCCAAAGGCGAATTTTTCCTAAAAGCGTGGTAAGGGAGTGGTGGATGGGATTCTGTCATGAGAGGTTTTATTCACAAATATTGTGTTAGGCTTTTCCACATTTTTCAGCAAACCAATGAATCTAATGAAAATGTTCGAGAAGCACATTTTTGTTACTTTTCCATTTCGGTTTCAGGGCTATAAACACACATTTCTGTCCTCTGACTAATGTACGACAATGTTTAAAGCATAGGACTTGGCTCTCGTGGAAACTTTCCTATTGAGGGGATCAAAAGCATTTTGCTATTGTTCCTTCCCATTCTCCGGGGATACTGGGAGATCTGGAGTCTCTGGTGGTACATATTGTAAAATGCCTTGGATTTGCAGAGGTTTTGCTATTATTATTTAATAATGGGTCTCAGGATTTCAAGATTTCTATCAAGGGGAAAAAAACCAAAGCTCAAAAGTTCAAGGAGAGCATGAATAGACAGCAAACAGAAACTAAAAATGTGAAGACCCTGTAGTATTTTCAACTGTGGCTCCAAAAAGATATGCCAAGTCCTAACCTTTGTACCTGTGACTGTGACCACATTGGAAAATAAGGTCTTTTTTTTAAGTTATTTTTTAAAATGAGATATAATTGACACATAACATTGTGTAAGTTTAAGGTGTACAACGTGTTGATTTGATACATTTATATATGCAATATGATTACCACAGTTGCTTTAGCTAACACCTCCATCACCTCACATAATTATCATTTCTTTTTAGTGGTGAGAACATTTAAGATCTAGCCTCTCAGCAATCGTTAAGTATATAATTCAGTATCGTGAACTATTGGAAATAGGGTCTTTGCAGATGTAGTTAAGGTTCTCGAGATAAGATCATCTTGCATTTAGAGTGGGCACTAAATCTAATGACTGCTGTCCTTATAAGAGAAAGGAGAGGGAGATTTGACACACAGAGACACAGGGGAGAAGACGTTGTGAAGATGGAGGCAGAGTCTAGAATGGTGTGTTTACAAGCCAAGGAACACTAAAGCTTGCCAGGCATTGACCAAAAGCAAGAGCTAGGCATGGAATGGCTTCCCCATCAGAACCTCCAGAAAGGACCAGCCCTGCCGACACCTTGAAAAAGGCAGCCACAGGGAACTTAGACAGGCCCTTTAGCCATCGAGAGAGGCTGAGCAGAAAGCTTTTGTTCTGTGAGTCCAGCAAAATTGTGACCTAGAAGAAACACTGCTTCAGTGGCTTCCTTCCTCCCTCCCTCGCCCCAGCGCCCACTCCGCGGTGCCACACTCGGATTTCTCCTTTGTGACTCACTCTCCTCTCAGCTCTGAAAGTATCCTCATTCCAGCTTCACATTTCCCCCTGCGCCAAGACCTCCACCAGCGATCAGCTTACAGCATCTTACGAACTTGTTCACAGCATGGTGGAGACCAATAACGTGGGGTGTTGACCCTGACAGGAATATTCTTATTTTCGAAACAGTTGGAAAGGGCTTTACCACAAAGGAATTCTCTCTGCTGGTGGTCTCTCTGGAATTGGCGTGTGGGTAGGGTGGGGAATTTTGCAGGGGCTCTTCCCCCACCCTCAAACCTCCTGCCTTCTCCCCCTCACCTCTTCCCCTGGGCCCTGATTTCCATGGCTTCATTAGCGCAAAGGCAGGACCCCACCCTCTCCATCTGCACAGCTGCCCTTTCCAGGCCCAGCGCCCTGCAATGAGTGGGGACCAGGCGGGAGCTGTGGAGAAACTGCTTTGAAGGAAGGGAGAATATCTACGAGGGTCATATGGAGGCAGAACTGGCTACATAATTTTCAGGGCCCAGTACAAAATGAAAATGTGGGGCCCCTTGTTCAAACTTATTAAGAATTCCATGATGGCGACAGCAGAGCCTGAAACCTTGCCAGGCCCTTCTAAACTTGGGGCGCTGTGCCACCGCAAATGTTGCATACCCGTGAAGCTGGCCCTTGTGGGGGTTGCCAAAAGCTTTGAGTTGGAACTGAGGAGCTGTGTTAACTTGGGTCAATGAGTGTCTATTTGTGGACTTGATCTTGATCCAGAAATCAGTGTGGCACAAAGAAAAGCTGCCACCGTCAAAGGTCTGGGCTTGTCAGGGGACTTCAAGGGAGCTGACACCCAGCCCGCCCAGGTGAGCTGGTGTAGGTGAGAGAAAAATGACAGGTATTTAAAATTCCTCCACCAGGACGCCTCCTGGTGGCCTGGGGGACTCTTGTTTTGGGACTCTGAAGTCATCTTGCCTCTGCAGGCCGAGGAGCTAAATTACTTTGTATAAGCAAAGGGGTGAGGGGGCTGGGATCCGGGAACTTGGGGTGAGGGGGATGGTTAGGGTACTGATGCTGAGGGAGCTTACAGGAGAAGGGTCCAAGGGCAGAGACTTCAGGGAAAAGAGAAACGTCTAGAGGACTTTTCTAAGTGAAATTCTGTGTATGGGTGATGTGCCCCCCCACCCCCTCCCACCCGTCACCCCAGCAAAGCTTTGGCCAAAGAACCATTTCTCGGGAATATGTGGAGGGAACTTCCTCTGAGGGGGATGAAGAGAAGTGTTTAGTCAAGTGTTAGAGCAGAGGATGGGGGCAGGGTTAGCATCTCTCAGCCTTGTTGAAACGGGGAAGAAGTAAGCTTCCGCAGAACTCACTAAAATGAAGGAGGTAGCTGAGCTAAGCAGCCTCAGAAAAATCATGGTGACAACAGTTGTGTATTTTCATTTAGTCCTTTAGCCTGGAAAAATCATGAGAAAAAGACAAAAAGGTTGGTAGGCACAGTCTGGTTGGGGTGGGTCCAGTGACTGGGGCCGGAGGAGGGGTGCAGGACTGCTGGCGGTTTAGTTCCGGAGGCCAGAGAGGAGTCAGGGAAGAGTATCGAAGCCTCAGGCCCCTTCGTGGCTGACAGCAGATAAGACCCTGAGAGTCCCTGGGCTAAAGTCACACAATTTGTATTCCTCCTGCCTGGATAGCTTTGAGCTTTAACCCTAACCAGATTCAAAATTCCTGCCCTGTTACATTCCTGGACATTTTGCTGATGGGTATAACTTTATTTTCCAAGTCAATAAACACTAGTTATTGACATTTTAGTCTAGAAAGCGCTGTCTCTATATCACTGTAGTTGGTGGGCTGTGAGTTTGTCTGGTTGAACTCACCTGCAGTCAAAGCTGGTCGGAAGCCAAAGTGCGAGTGGTGGTAACTGCCAGTTCTGGAAAGGAACGCTGGGCGTACTTTCTCTTTCAAGTAGCACACAGAAGTTTTCATTTGTCCTAAGAAAGTGTCCAACAGTGTCCCACCTAGACAGGTTCTGCAGATGAAATGCCTCAAGATACAATATGTCCCCTAAAAACCCTGACGTTGTTCGGTTTCCCTAGACGACACTGGTGTGAATGAAGGGGGATGCCATGGCTGATGTTTGGCGTTCTTGTGTAGGGTGGGGAAAGGTATTTCCAGCAACCTGGTTCACCTCTGAGGCCACCTCTCTGAGGAACGCCACCATCTGCTACCACTCTTTCAAACTGAAACCTCAGCTGACCTCGGCTCTGGGGAGATGCCCAGGCACAGCCCACTCGAACATGACAAAGCGAAAAACAGACATTCACTCCCAGCCTGGTGGTTTCACCTCCAGATCTCAGACATAAGATTAACTCAGGCACGTAATATTCTAAAGCTATTGCTTCAAATCTGCCCTCTCTATATGTGCGTTGGTCTCTGCTCATGGAACTGCCGCTTGTCTTCATTTAAGCAGGCCAGAAGATTTTAATATTATAAACTCCTAAAATGTCATTTGCAAGAAAAGTTAAAAAGATATTGTTTCCTCATGCTACAAAAATATAGCAATACTTGATTTTAGGTCTCTATATTGTAACTTCGGGTCATAGGCGGCATTTGATCCCTGAAAAGGGTGTTTGCTAGTTTAAAGCAATGCTCTGCCTTTTTCATCCTTTAACACTCATTATCTCCCCGTTCCAGCCCACCACTCCTCCCTCACCCCCAACCAAGAGAGAGCCTGCAGGAGGCCAGCGGATTCATTCCATTGTTTAAAGGACTGAGTGGAATCATCCACTTGGGGATTCCATCCATCAAGTCCAATGTTTGGGTTTGTTTTGTTTGGTAGATGAAAAAGCCCAATTTGGCTGTCTCCCAGTCCATTCTACATACCACCGTGTGAAAGCCAAGACCAAGGGTCCTCCCGAGAAACAACAGAAGATGGATAATTCTCTGAGCCAAGAAGCCAGCAGTGCTTCATCCTTCCCGCCAAAGCCTGCTCAAATTCCCACATGTTTGCTTTTCCATAGTCTCTAGAAGTGGAGGGCAAAGGAGCAACCACAGCAGCCAAGTTCATTCATTCATTCATTCATTCATTCCAGCAAACAATTACTGAGTACTTACCATGTGCCAAACGCTGTTCTAAGCCCTGTGGCTACAGCCATGGTCAAGACATTGATGTGGAGGTACAAGGTTCAGGACATCCATAAATCATACCGTAGAGATTCAAGGTCAACCCTGGAGAGAAAGATAGAGTCTCAGAACCTTATGGCAAGGACACTGTCATCACCGTGTCTTCCCTCCACTCTCCATCCCACAACCATCCTCACAAATGAATATGGCTGATGGTGGAGAACTCACTGCTTCTCCAGTAAGACTGTTCTTCCCATCAGGCCCTGCTTTGTCCCCAGAACTACACAGAACCTCCACGCTCTTTCTTCCCCACGGTCACTCTTCCAACACTGCAGGCAGTGCCATGTTTCTGTTGTTCTTCACACTAAATGTAGGGACAAAGGTGTGGGAGGATGGCCCAGAGGGAGTCCAAGCTAAAGTGCAGAAGTGCCTGGGCTTCTCTGGAAACTGCTGGCGCGTATCCCCCAGAGGTCTGTCTGCATGAGACTGAAGATCCTGTTAGGAATGAATTCATCCAGGGAGAGGAAGACGGAGGTGACCAGCTTGACCCTTTGCCAAGCCTTGATCGTTGGAGAGAGGGACAAACCTGAGCTGAGCTCTGAGTCCCAAAACAGATTTTAAAAATACGTGTGTGTGTATATGTATGGAAAAGGAGCGAGAGAAAATGTTGATTTTTTTTTTTTTCTGGGGGGGGGTTATGAGTGATTTTAATGCTTTATACTTTTTTGTGTTTTTAATATTTTCAACAATGAATGTATAAAACATGTTAATAGAATAAAATTTTATTTTAAAAATTACTTAGAAACTAATTTTCCAGAGGGATTGACTTATCTGCTCCTTTTCACTGTAGAACAAAGGCACTTGCTTACATAATAAACAGCATTTAGAAAACGCTGTTAATAGGCGGAAATATGCATTACAGAATAATTCCCGAGTTATTTGTTGGTATCAGCCCCCTCTCTCTCCAGTGTTTGAAAGAAAAGCACTGGCACCAAGCCCATAAAGACACTGGAAAATGACGTATGACTTTCTTTAAACAAGCAACCAGAAAATCTTCATTAGCATCTGTATACTTTGAAAAAATAAAAGTAACCACCAATAGAAATCCATTTCCCCTAAAAGACTGCAAAGGATCTCTCAGAGAAGGCCGGACACAAGGGCGTTAGGGCGAAATTTCTGGAGCAGTTAAGCACTGCTTCCTAACACACAATCACGTTCAGCTAAAATTGCTTTTCAGATGTTTAAGAGATTTACAAAACTGGTCAAAGACTTTCACACACGTCAAAATGGCCACGGAGAGAACTCGGGTCGTACTTACAGGACTAAGGGAAATAGTAACTAACTTATATTTCGTGACCAGTGATTATTTAATGCATGAGACAAGATTTCCAGTAAGCGTCTTAATGTTTTCAAAACTGTAAATTCCATTTTCCTTAGCTCTGTTGGCTGGGTGGTCACCAGATTTTGTTTCTTTCTAACATGATGGAAATCATACAAACATGCTGTTTTCTATTTCACCACTGGGTTTAAGGTTACAGGGTGAAAATGCTCCCCCTTACCCGGTTTGAAGACTGGCTCCCTTGAGACACATGTTTCCAGATGGGCCCGGGGTGGGACGGGTCTCCTTGGAGACCGAGGCATCAAGGAAGATCCACAAAACAGGGTCAGGAGTAAATTTGACTCGTTGGCAGTTCAGTGACAGTCTTTGGTCTGGAAAGTGCTCTTTAGTGTAACCAAAATAAATATTTTAAAACCAAAGTGAAGAGGGGAGGATTGAAAGGATTAAAATTATTGCCCAAGATACGATTTTCTGATCCAGTTTTTTTTCCCCCAAAACTCTTACTTAGTCTTATATAATGATGGCCCTTTTACCGTTGCTACAGAAATAACTGACTGAAGTGCACACACTTTGAGGTGACTCTTGTTCCCAGCAGGAAGGAGGCGCTGGGGATCCCTCTCACCTCAGAAGGAAGACGACTTCAGAGAAAATGAAACTTGGAAAGGTTGAGCCTTGAGCCTTGAGCCTTTCGGTAGAAACGTTTGGGATCCTCTGAAGTTAACTTTATATGAACATACCGTTACATTCCAGCCTGTGACCTTGTAGTTCACCCAAACAGTCACTTAAAGTCAATTCTCTACACTGGACACAAATTCTTCTGGATGTTTCAGGGGCGTTGTTCCTAGCAGCGCAGGTCAGCATCCAAAACACCAGACTCTGGAACCAGACTACCCGGGTTCAAATCCCACTTCACTACTGACTACTTGTGTGACCTTGAGCAAATCACTTACCCTCTCTCTGCTTTGGTTTTCCACATCTGTAAAGAGGAAGTAACACTAGTAGCTGCCTCCTACCACTGGTGTTAGGATTAAAACAGTCAATGGGCATAAACCACCAAGAATAGTGCTCAGCAGACGGGAAATGCCACCTAAAAACTCCTCTCTGTGTTATTTTTGGGTTTTCTCTCCTTCTAAGATGTATGAAAAAATAAGAATAACCACTGTTACCATTGTGTCTGTTATTGTTGTAGCCTAAAAGAATGAATATTCCTCCCGAAGTTTCCAATTTATCATCAAACAGAAAACCTGGCATTGGAGAGAATGCAACTCCATATTTCCAAATCGTAACGATATTTGTTTCCATGTAGGTATCTTCTTCTTTTTTGTGGTTCATTTTCAAATGTCACAGATGTGACTTTTTTAAAGGGGCATTTTATGAATTCTCTACATGGGAGAAAGACTGAGAATGTGTCAGCTTTTTTCAAGATAATAAAACGGTGAACATAAACATGACTTTAATCTAAACCTTCTACAGGGTAACAGCACTTCCTGTAACATTTTACCATCCTCCAGTTCATGCCAGTGCCCGGTTCGCTCCCCCCTGCAGCTGTCAGTCCGTGTGGCACTGGGAACCACCCACTGATGACACCCCTTCAGCTTCCCTATCAGAGATGAACTTATTTCTCTTTTCTTTTGTTTACTTTCCTTTTATTCTCTTCACTTTTCCTTCCAAATTTGGTTTCCCTCAACTCCTAGAGTTTTAGGAGATTCTCTTCTCTTTCCCTCCCTTCCAGAACTACTTGGAGTTTCCTACGTGGCGACGACACTTCCCAAATGCTGACGCTCTGCCCCTCTTCGAAGGCCTGCTTTTATTTTTCCTGTCCAGGTCATCTGTGCAAGTCATTAAAGTTAAAGGTTGGTACTAACGACTGGTCAACTCCATTAAGGCCGTCTCCCCTCTGTGACCGTTTACTTTTCTGGTTCAGCGTCTTTTACTGCAGAGCTTGTTAAGAGCCTTTATTGCTTGAAGAAGTGCCTCCTGGAACCTTGAGCGTTGCTGTTTATACATAGGGCACAGCCGGGCTGAACTGCTGGTGCGGGCAGCTCCTGAGCTTTGCTGAGGGCTCCAAGTGGGACCCAAGAGGATCTGCGACAGAGACCTAAAAGCAAGTGCTTGCATAGCTGCCATGTCTCTGCCAGAAAGTGTGAGAAAGCATCCAGCTAGAGCGGGAGATGGATTTGGTGCTGCAATGGAGAAGTGTGCACCCATGTCAGGCTCCCAGCAGGGCTGCATGAGCCCCACGGGGTCTTGGCGCTGGAAGAAGAAAAGGCACCCTCTTCTAGGTCCCCAGGCCAAGGGATCAAAACCGAGGACTGAGTTCCCACGATTGTGGCTGCCAGATAGATTTGTCTGTACCTCCTGTCCATTCTAATAGTGTTTACAGGATATCTGGCCTTTGCCAAATCCCTTCAGTGTCCACCAGGGTCTGGAGGGGGTCATAACCTGTTCCTACTGTAGTGTGACTCTAGTCACAGATAGGAGCAGTTCTGCAGGGGCTTAAAGTTTTCTACTCCCCTCCCCCGCCCCCTTGAGGGTCTAAGCCCCACCCTGTATGAAATGCTCCCCGTCTAAAGCTATTCCTGTGGAATAATTGCCACTCGGGGTGCCAGCAAACTTGTGTCTCCAACCAGGGATCTCTTTCCTAGTTGGGGGGTGGGGTGGGGTGGGGTGCCTGAGGCTGAATTAATCATTGGAAGCTGCTTGATGATGCAGAACCTCAACAAAGAGACCTGGAGAGGGGTCATGACAAACCCAGCAGGCCCCCGGCCACAGGACTTGCGTCCAGTGTGTAGAAGTTTCTGGGTCAGGAAGAACCAGATGAGGCACTCGCCCACCAGCCAGAAGCAGCAACTCCAAGGAAAGAGTGGGCATTTTCCACTAGGCAGGAGGGAAGGAGGCCACAGGGCTCAGGCCCAGCCCCC